ATTAATTAATGGATTCCTTATTTTGTTGTCTGTAAAGTAACACAACAATCATGTATTTATAACTGTAGAGCCTGATGACGAAGTTATTGAAGTCAGTTGCTTTTGTTTATTCCATAAGTATTTTTAATTTATTGCAATCTTATTTTATCGGCATGGTTTCAAATCGATGTTTCTCCCTATCCAGGGCAGGCTATATGAAGAAATTACTAAATAAATTTAACTGAAAACTATAATTTGAACAGCCTGATTTTAGTCTTTGATTAAATATCACCAAAAATACAAATATCATCGTGTTTTCAAGTAGTTAATAAAATTTCCATTCATTTTTTGTCAAATTATCTTACATTGTTCATCTCTGCATTACTTTATGTAAAAGACATTTCAAGCTAAAATGTTATCATTTGAATAATCTTCTTCATACTAACAATGTTCAAAACAGTAGATTTCACCTGTATAAACAAAATTCATCTGTAATTACATAACTGATGACAAAAGAAAATATTTTTGACATAAATGACGGAAAAATGATATATCCGTAATCTAGTTCAAACAAATTTCATTTTCAATGGATAATTATTTTCAATTATTCAATGACTTCTTGTGTTGATTTTATTGTTTCATTTATTACATACTGACTAATGAATATGGTGATGATTTGTTTAACTTTATTATTGGTTATATTGTTTATTCAAGGTAATTAATCACGGATTAAATGATGATTGACAGTTGACAGAATATTTAATTTACTTCTGTATAGTATTATCTAAGCGTAGTGCTATTCAGTTGATTGCGAAATCCCGTATTACTTGTGTATTATCTTCGGTAAAACTATTATTATAGCAACCAGATACACTAATGGAGAATAATGTACGGCAATTTCTAATGATTACCGTTAAAACTGAAACGTTTCTTTCATAATGTTACATCTAAGAATATACTACTGTCGTTACGCTTAGTTGGTTAATCAGAAAGGTGTAGTAATTCTATAGTTAGTTAGTTAGCTACGCTTGTTACCAACCCCAGTGGTGCATAGACCGCCGACCAGTATTCTTTAACCTACTCTGTACTCTGCCTGTATTAACGCTATAGTAGGTCACTTTTAATCTCACAAAATGTTATTCTTAATTATAAACTATTAATATTCTGTTCTCATCATGAGCTTCTTGTAGAACAGATTCAATTATCAAAATACTAGTCTTGCTGACTGATGTAATAAAGAAGGAAAGTAACATTTAGAATGAAACTGAACAGCAATCTTTAGAGCAGCTACTGAGATTTTTTAAAAGTTGACAAAATTGAATCTACTTACAGGTAGGAAAATATGTTTTTCAATTCATACTTCATAAAGCACCAATAATTCAGTTACCTTTGTATTTAATAAAAAGTTACCGTTCTATGTGTACATAATTTTTCAATTAACTGCAACTGTTATTTGTATTATTCATACGCTTTAGGCATTTAAGCTGGTTGTCTGAATATAACATCTGTCTCACTTAAATAACCCATGCACGACTGATAAAACTCAAATTATGATAGAAATAATATTTCATTGTATTTAAAATTATTTGACATCATGTACTTAATCAAAAATAGTTAAAAAATAATTCATTATCAGATTATTTCCATTTACAGACTTGGGAGGTTTCCCTAAGCGCTCTCATTACAGTCTATGTATGATATTAGCATGTGGTTCAGCTCAACTTTTACACTTAAGTAATCAAGTATGAATGGCATACATACTATTATCACAAACATGATTATAATACGGTGTATGTACACCGATATAAAAATTGCTATTTCTGCACAATGATTAACTGTTTGCTGAACACTAAAAATACCTAATTTTATAAACTCTTTCCCGTTATTAAACTTGAATACATAAAGAACAACTATCGTATCACAATAACGTGAATTCATTTATTGTCAGTAGATTCGCCTCAGTTGCTTAAAACCTGAAATCATTGTTATAATCATTAAAACGAAACTAGTGTTTGATATCGGAATTATCATGTTAGAGATAAACTAATATTAAGGAATCATAATAGGGAATAATTGAACGGAAAGGGAGTAGTGTAACATGTTTACACAATTTGCATGGTTACTCCTAATGGGATTATTTTAAGTAGTCATAATATATCAGGCCCAATGACGGGAAGGCAGTAAATAGGATAAGGTTGGTTGATAGGAACATCAGGTCTATGTATTTTTGGTGGTTTATATAATCCAGTCCTCGAGAATGCAGTTCATTATCTTATCTTAAGAGCTACACAGATTCGCGATTTGGCTATACATTGAGGATTCTTCGGTAGAGGACTATTTCTGAAGAATTGATGGGGATGTCAGGTAGAATTTAAACACTATTCGAAAAACTTTACGCTTCTATTTTTTATAGACAAGAGAAGCACTTGTTTTCACCAACTTAAGTATCAATCAAGGTAAAGTTCCATGTCTTTATGAATTGCCTAGTTTATTCTCTTCATATGATTTTCTGTTAAATCCGTAGTTTAACTACGAACCTTTCATTATTATTTAAGACAAAATCTTTACTAATCACTTATGATCAAAAGCATCTACCTAAGTTGCCAATCATTTCCAACATCTTTGATTTCTACTGTCTATGATTTGTATCAAATAAATAAATATTCTATATGGATAATGCCTTAAGATTCTTTCTGACATGTTTCTGGAATAAAAGATGAGTTTAACTCTCAGAAAACCTAAAGATCCTGTGACCCAATACTATGTTCTTGAACAACCATTTTACCTTGACTCAAAACGTCCTAACATTTGAAGTTAACCATTAACATAAAATTCAAAATTCCGAACTTGATGTTTTATCTTTCAAGTTAGAAAATTTCAGACAACTCTATCGAAACTCACTGTTCATAATATTTGCCTTTAACTAGGTTTTTGGTGATATTAGATGGTTTTTGCTCGATATCGAAAGCTAACCAATCAAGAACCAAAAAAGTAGCTGCGTACGAATTCAGAAACTAATGGAAACATGATAACCAGTCGAAATATTTCTTCAATCTAAAATTCTTGATTACCAGTTATGTGGATATATATGCATACATTTACATACATTCTTTTGAATGGTGTTTTGAGCTACTTATGAATATTGAATAGTGAAAAAATGATACCCGAAATGTATGATTAAGTGAAAAAATTATTTTAACGTGTTAAAACGTGTTTTTGTAACCCTATTTTAGTGCTTTACATGAAAATCCAAGTGATGTAAGTCCAACGTTTCATTGATCCTAATAACAGCTTGAAATCTTAACTAACTTGTCGTGTATACAGGAAAAAACTTGGTCAGTATATGTCTTTTCTATCCGTTCGTTAGAATATGGATTGGTCACTACACATCACAATAGGATTCCTTTATAGAAGAAAGAAAAAACTCAAACTTTTCACGTTTTCTAAATGTTAGTTTTGTCGCAAACTACATGAGTTTTTCATAAATGCATTTTTCAGTTTTTTTTCGCCGAAGAAAAATAACTGCGCTACATTTTTTTTTGAAATAATTACTGTAATAATAATAATGAAAACAATGTCTCCAAAATAAAACGTTTGTTCATTTAAAAACGCACTAATTCGATATTTGAAAATATAATATATATATATATATATATATATATATATATATATATATATATATATATAAAGCAAAAGCCAAATCACGTTGATAAAACTGCGTATGACGAATGTCAATATCAAGACAATGATAACAAACTGTTTTGCACGATACCCTTATATTCCGAAAATGAGCAGATTAAATTATTATGGAATAACTTTTGTTGTGAATAGAATTTGTGATTAGGATTTAAATTTAAAACATGAAATGATAATGAGTAGATAATGATAAAAGCACAACAAACATTCCGATTGTTTTACAAGGTCTATGCTCTGATTTGAACCCTTGATCAATAAGTTCGTTTATTCAGGTTAAATATGTGGCTTTTACAACAATCAAAATCCTTCAGTGATGATTTACAGAAACTTGGAATAAAAAGTGATCTTAATGAATTGATCACTGAGTATTGATCAATGTTTTCTTTATGGTTTGAGGTAGTCAGTCAGAAATTCTGAACTAAGTTTCATGGTAGTCGACAATGATCGACAAGTTGTATGTTCAGGGAACTGACAAGTGTTCTTGAATTTTAACATGCATTATTCAGCCTAACACTCCAAAATGTTACCATTGACCTTGTTGAGTTTACATGGAATTAAAGATCCATCGTCAGCTAGCTGATCAGCATACTTTGTTGTTTATGAACAACAAACAAACCAGTCTAAGAAAAACCATTTTCATTAGCACTTTTGGAATGCCTCTCCGGAATACCTCAACAAATACTTCATCATATGAATAAAGGGAAAACTTTAAAAAGAGATTGTATTTCAAATTTTAACAAGAAAACAGCCAGACGTTTTCAAGTTTATTTATGGATGTTTTTATTTACAAAATTTCAAGAAAACTTAAACGTTTTCTCTATTGTTTGATTCTTCATTTATATCAGTTATTTTAATTGTAAATTAATGATAGGTTTTAAAAGAGAACAAAACTGAAATCATGTTAATTTTTTAAAAAAAAACAGATTAAAACCATTTTATGTACGTGACATAGTTTTGAACTAACTTCTTATCAATGGTCATAAAGACATAGGATTTGATTGCGATGAAATAGATTCTGGAAACCTTAACAGACGAATCATTTCTAAAACATAGATTTAAGGTTAGGAGAAGCATCGATAGCGGACAATGGGTCCTTTTTTAATGGCTTGTGAGTTGTATATATATATATATATATATATATATATATATATATATATATATATATATATAGGCAGTTATCTTCAATTTCGTATATCAAATGATATCTGTTATTATCATCCTACATAAAAATACATACTGTGCAGTCAGTTATTTGGTTCTCTGACGTCATATAACAAACATATGCATGAAGTAACCACTGGAAATATCTAGTTATTGATTTCTTCCACATACATACATCTGCAAAATATGCTCTGTGCAAAATAGAATCTGACTTTTAGCTTATTCTTAAGAATTTTATTGTTTCTCAATTGATAAGTGTGTGGATCATGTGAAATGTTGATGAGATTTTTGTTGTTCATTCATTATACACCAAATTGTATGTAGAGCATAAACAAATTTCATGCCTTCATAAAACCTAGACATACCATGATCGGTGAGTATATTTTTAAATATAAATTACTCAAAATAAATGAACAAAATACATTATTTGTTTGATGCAATTTTACGTGATTAATATTTTCTAGTGAATAAAGAATTAAATTTGCATAAAAACTAATCATATGTGTATGAAAGTGAAAAATGATATCACTGGATGGGTATACATATATACATGTAAACTAATAATACAAACATTTTGGAGATCACAAAACAGCCAAAAAAAATTCACAATATTTCGAAAATTATGTTTTTTTTGTTGTTTTGTGTATGATAGAAAACATATTTGTAGAAAAAAAAACATAAATTAGAACTTTTAAAATGTTAATCAATTCAAAAAAACAAACATGTGCATCCAAGTGATTATTAAGAAAGAGAAAGAATATCTTTTTCGTAGTTGCTGTTTATTTGTCCAAAAAACAAAAAAATTAAAAATAAGATAAAATAGTATAAAAAAATAATGAAAATTAAGAAATTTGGTTGATGGAGAACTCTGTGTGTGTGGAAATTTCTGAAAATTATATAGTCTTATTATCATTATTATGATCTGTTGGAAGTAATGAATAAGACATGTTCATTTTTGAATTTAATGAATAACTGTTTACTGGCATGATACGTAAACAGAAAGATGATATATTTGAAGAATTCGATTGTTCCATGCAATATGTATACCATAATGGAATGGAATGTAAGAAACGTATGTACACTGATAGACTGATGAGTAGAAGTAAGGTGAAAATTAGACTACATTTTATCAATAGACACTTTAAAGTAAAATCTTTATGGTTTATTCTTCTTGACTGTGTAGTTTTACGAGAGTGCAGAGAATTTTCTGTGTTACTAAATGTTGGAGTAGATTGTTGTAGTAGTGATACACTGGAAGCTACAAAAAATAAATTATAATAAGGAAGTATTCTTTAGACAGACAGGCGACAAGATTGAAAACCGGTAAATTTAAACGAACCAAGAAAATATAATAATGACAAATTTATATACCACGTGAAGATTAATTAATCCTGGCAAATAAAGTCTTTGAGTTAGTTCAACCTTAATGAGCTTGATGACTAATAAATACAATAACGTTGTTTGATACGTCATGTACACCTGTAAATGTACAACGTATGTTTTTGCTAACGCTTAGTTTTCGAATAGACAGTGTATTAATTTAAAGCGTCTACTTGTCGACTAGTCCAGGGACTCTTAATGAACTTATCTACAATTTTACTCTTTGGGTGTTTAGTGCTAAGAATGAAGCCTAATTGATCTATCTATCTATTCAACCTTTGGTAAAGAAGGTATACGATATAACTTACAAGACTTGTCATTTTATCGTGGATATAAGTTGAATACTTGTTTCAATGCAGCTGATAATCAGAGTTAATCATAAACTATTATATAAATGTAATTGCTAGTAACAAATACAGATGGCATGAATAGCGCCATTAGGATTTTAGATATTTTGAATAGGAGACATCCTTTATTACAAATCAGCTACTAAAACGAGTGATTAACCTTACATATTACACTAAACTGAAGCAGCTTTTGTCAATGTTATGAGGTTACGAAATTGCATGTACAACTATGTGGTAAAGTTGTAGACTGTTTCACGTTTAACATATTGTTTTAATTCAATCCATTTATTTAAACTTCCCGGTTCCTCTTTTGTTTTATTATTAATTTATATATTTATCATTGAATGCAAGAGCCTGATAACTTACATCATCTACTTGGCTCACTAAACTGTTAATGAGCATCAGTTTTGTTGTTATTAAATCAATAAATAACATGAACAATAATTCATGAATATTACTCACCATCTGCACTATCATTTTCTAAATGTAAGTAGTTAAATTCATGTTCTCCAATATTATTTATCGAAAAGACCGGTGATCGATCCGTAACATTATTTTTGGCCTAAAACCAGTCAATAAAATAAAATCATCTTTGAAACATTATGTATATATATATATATATACATATATATATATATATATTTATAAATTACTTACTTACTTACGCCTGTTACCCCCAATAGAGCATAGGCCGCTCATCAGTTTTCTCCAACCAACTCTGTCCTAGGCTTCCGTCTCCAGTTCTGACCAATGTTTGTTCATTTCTCTCATATCTTTCTCTATTTCTCGGCGTAGTATGTTCTTTGGCCTTCCTCTTTTCATTTTACCTTGAGGGTTCTATGTGAGGGCTTGTCTCATGATGTAGTTAGGTGATTTTCATAGTGTGTGTCCTATCCACTTCCAGCGCTTCTTCCTGATTTCCTCCTCCACTGGAATCTGGTTTGTTCTCTCCCACAGTACGTTGTTGCTGATAGTGTCTGGCCAACGAATCCGAAGTATATATATATATATATATATAGCTCGAGAAGGTTAAAGGCATCAACCGATTCTTCATAATAAGGGTCAACCTTTTGTCTATAGTATTATAATTACGTATAACAAATTGAAGTTAAGAACAACTGTATATTACAGATTTATAAATGTTCGCTAAGGAACTATTGAACTTCTATTAGTATAACAAATCTAGCCCACTCTGATAAATTGTATTATCCAGTTAAATGCTCTTTAATTTCGTTTACTGATTACCTATTCTTACATTTGTGTTTAAATTCCATTTGTAGTGGTTTTAAGGAGTTCGAAAAAAATGACAAAGATTTTAAAAAAAATTTTCTTTTTGTTAGAAACGAATTTTTTTTTTATAGGTAATGTCAGACAATGTTAAATCGATAAATATCTATTTGCTTTTCTTGAAGTTGTCTGTAATAAATATTGTTACAGACAATGATTAATTTAATTTACAATTTATAAAATCAATAATTTAGCCAGGGATTTTGCCTTTGGTAATAAAGTACTAATCAGTACTCTGTAGTGGCTAACGGCAATCACAGGTAAGATTGTCAGAAACTATATCTTTAAAATCTTAATTACAACACATCAAATTACAATGCCGATTAAATAGTGCTTCCGTAGAATCAAATAAATTTTGAATTCACGAATGAATAAATAATCTTTCTCAAAAAATTCATTCAAATACATACATACTCATAAAGAAATCAAGCAGAAGTGATATCACTTGATTAGATTTCAGAAGATCATATCCAATTAAGACAAGGTTAAACGTGGAGAAATTCGAATATTTCACTTCTGCCTGAAGTTTGTACTGATGATGTTGTTTAGAAGAACAATAAAGGCTCCACAACCAAAACATTCAGCTCATAGCATTTGCAAAAGATCAGTTCATCCTATGGAACTGGACTGTTCCTGTTGCCAAACATCAATCCATTGTCACTATTCATGCGTTTCATACAAATTCCATTGTTTTCTAACTCTTCCTTTCTTGATCTTCCCTCCATATTATGCTACCAGACTTTACGTTGACACTCACGTCATATACTACTTATAAGTAGTTCGCACCACAGCACCACAATAGGACGAAATACCACCACAATCATCCCCTTGAGTTACAAATTTTTTCCGCTAAGACAATATCAGTTACTTATGGAGCATATTAGCTTATGGTTAACTCTAAAATCAAATTTGATGTTAAGTGGTAATAGTAAAACATGAGAGTCCTTAAAAGTCATATTCATAAGTTAATTGATTCCATATGATGATAAACGCATCTATTAAATCAATGAAATTACTCCTATTTATCTATTTTTTGAATAATATGATCAAAGTGTTAGGTCAAAGAATTACTGTGTTTATTACAAATATACAAGATCTTCATTAATATCTGACAAAGATAATACATGGTATAAGAAATTGTATGCAACAAAACAACAATAAACAATGTTTGTTTAATTGCAATGGGAGCAGATTTATTTGAACGGTTTTTAAATGTTTCATCAAAGCAACTGTCCATTCCCGGATTTTTTTATGTTCTGAGCACTACTTATTTCATTTGCATTAAAATACACAACATACCCATGACATAGTATATAATGAAAGTGATTTAATTTTATTTCGATTTAACGTGAATATATATCAGACTAAATAAAAGAGCATGAACATGTGTTAAGCTTACTAGTTTAACTTGTTCAATCCAATCTGTTCGTAGTGCAAGTATTGTATAAACCACAGTTGTTAATCCAAAACCAATGGTTAAACCAACCCATGATCCTGATAGTGAGGAAATCATAATGAAGAAATCATATTTCTTACTACTACAAGAATGAACCAAATGAAATTTAAAATTAGGAGCTAATGACTTCTTCAAAGTTTTTGCGACAAACTAATAAATACTACTACCTATATCTGATTTTTGTTGAAAAAAATCCATGAAATTAGAAACTAAACAGTTTAAATGCTAACTATCGTTTGTATAAAAGTTGTTTCACAACTATTTTTCCAACCCCATACCAGCATCGTTGATTAGATACTAACATTATCACTACTTATGTCAATGGTTTATTTGTAGACTGTTAAGCGATTGAGATTTCCAGTGTAGGTAGATACTTATACCGGTATTATTCTCCCCGACCTTTACACAATCAGTATTATTTATATTTTATTAAATGACAAAGAAACTTTTACAATTATTTCCATGTTGTTCAGCAACCACTGTGTTCTTTTAATAACTGTGTATGCAAAACACATTTTCAAAGTATGAAAACTTTCACAATGCAGAATTTGCATTAAAAATATGCTTAAATGTCTAATATTTCGTTATTTTATCACAGATATTGCTAATGACTAGAAAAGTTAAGTGCCGATAACTTTTTTTGGACCATGAGACAATAAAAGAATATGAAAATTGAACATGGACGCTGCCGTAATAATTTTAACTGCATCCAAAATTCATTTAGCTTATGATTGTTACATTTATACCTTATCATTTGAAATGCAATTAAAGAAAAGTCGTTTTCCAAGCATAAGTGTAATAGATCACTTGAAGATTGATTTAATAAAAAAAAACATTTACCAGATTTTAAATATAACTATTTATTTATCCATTAAAATGGGATATTTTCATTTTATTCTCAATTTTAGGAAACAGTGAAGAGAAAATAACATTTCGAATAATTTGCTTCAGTAGCATTTTTATGACAATTTAATGAAAGCAGATGATTTTCTCAAGATTTGGACGGTGGTGTTTTTTTAATTTGCATCTACGATTTTAAAAATACCGGAGAATTTCTAGAGATATAGTTGGCTATCGGTCGATACATTAACATATGCACGATTTATATCAACTTTTGAAGAAAACGTCAATCAGCCGCGTGATTACAGGTTGATCGAATAGGATTTTACAATTTCCCTCGCAAACAGAGGCTTTAATATCCCGAACATTTCCCACTAGAACAAGATAGTAACCATATACAGTTTAAATTTATGATCAATAACTGCCCGTTTATTATGGGGTATTCTATACTGTAAACATATTTCGTTGTCATGACACAGTGTCTGGCAATGTTCAAGTAACTACGACTTCCTATTTATTTAATTGTCTAGTTAAGAGTTATGAGCAGAATTCAAAAGTAGCTTTGTTTCTGGTAAAAAACAGTATGCTTAATACAAAGATAAAAATAAAGAAAAAAAATGTTTTACTATGAAAATAATTCAGTCTTATCAGTCTTTTAGTTTGCAAGATTATGCACAAAATGTTCACAGAGGAAGCAATTGTAGACTGTTCAAAAACATGATAAATATTAGTGGGAATGTAATAAAAATTAGTTTTGCATAAAAGCTTACCACAATTTTTAGTGGCCTACGGATATTATCAATAAATCATGTAGATTTTTTTGGTCATTGACAATATACACATAGTTTTAAAACACTGCTGATATACGTTTACGAGATCAAAGGTAAAAGATGTTTAGTCTCACAGTTTATTAAACAAATACAAAATGTTTAGTTGATTTCGAAAATTGTGAATAGTCTGACGTATTTTATCATAGGTAACAATAATCATTGGGGTTCAAGATTATAATAAGGAACATGGTCAGTTTGAAGTTCGTCTGTTGGTTGTCATTAGATGATAAGGAAGTAGGATAACTTTACGGTGGTTAGAAAATATCTTGGTCGCTAATTCATGAAATAAAAGGTACGTTTGAAAATTAACCCAGGTAACTTTCACTCGATAAATTAAATACCTCAACAACCCCAATTCGTTGTTCGGTCTACGATTTGTTAAAGATGTATATTTTGTGAAAAAATACAGCCATATTCTTGAGTGAATCACAAATGGTGTAAGTAGCTCATTGGTTCACTTGATTAATAGAAGTGAGTATAGTAATTGATAAGCTGTCAGTTCACTTACAAACTAAGTTTTTTTCTAAAAGATGACAACAACCTAGTTGTAACTATATATATTTTGTTTATTATGCAGTGATTCCTTCACCCTTAATTCAAGTTTATTTGTACTATAAGCTTACCTAATATTCCAAGTGATGTACGATAAGTCAGTAATGCAGCAATTGGCATCCCAATGCAATAATAACCAAAAAATATCGTAACTGCTCCAAGACTTTGACGCCCAGAAGCTAATAAAACAGCCTCTGATATACCCTACAAAGTTACAACCAATATATATATATATAAATCAAGAAACAAGGAGGTCTTAGAATTCTTTTTTATAAAAAGTATTTATTTAAAACCAATAAACTTTCAATTAACTGATCTTATAAAGTTATTTCGAATGAACACCTACCAGAAAAGTAAACGTATTAATTTAATTGTATTTAGCGGTGAAATTTGAGTAAACAAATAATATTCGTTGGACATATATGTAACTCCACGTGGAGCATACCTATAATTACTGGCCGTGCTTATCTCAGATAAAGTAGGAGGGTTGGGTATAGGGTTAGCAATTCTATCGCGTAGAAAAGCAAAGATGAACTAACACCAATAATAAGTTATAACAGAAACTATAGATTACGATCAGCTCGCATAATCTAACCATGTAGTGGAGATCTTTAGACAAGGACAGGTTCAACATTCAATGACTTCATGGTTATACATATATGTTTCCGCACTTGTTCTTATTTATATTTACATTATTACTACATATTACCTGACTTAGCTCATTGTCTTCGATGGGTAACCGCCTCATGCTGATGAGTCCCATACTAGGAGGAAATGGGCGTCCACTGCTTTCAATTCATGATTTCAATGTATAAATAACTGACTGTTTATGTATATTCATGCTGGGGATGTTAGATCACCAGAACTCGCTTAATAAATATCTTTATTTTGGATTTATTTCATGGCCGATCAGTTGACCTTGAGTACACATTTCCCTCCAGGAAAAGTCTTGGCTATGATTGGTTACTGTGTCATTTTAGTGCGCTATTTTTGTGACTGTCCCAAGGATGTCTCTATAGAGCATAAATAAACGCGATTTGTGTGCTGGTTGGGTGTTTGTGGAATACAATTTCAACGATATATCAAGACTTCCTGCTGGTACATAGGGTCAAGGGATCTTAGTAGCCTACCTGGAGGCTGGTTCATTGTTTTGTTCTCGTTATTCGACTAACGTGAACCCGTAATTGCTTCAAGCGTACCTAGTGACGAGCATAGCAATTCATAACTTTGATTAATTATGGTTCATTATTTTCTTTGCACGAAATCCATGTAATGCAAGAAAATATTAACAAAATGTTGTGCTAAGGGTAAATTATTTTAATATTAGCTTGACTAATACACTAACTGAAAAAGACGTCCTAATTACATCAAATCAGTAACAAGAGTTTAACATTCTTCTTTCATAAGAATTGATTGACCCAACTTTTCTCATTCTTCACAAGCTAACCAATATGGTGGTTCAGCTAAGATTAGTTCGCGATACTAACTGTAATAATGTACATGCATAAAATATCCAGTGAAATTATTTAACTTCAATTTACGGTTTTGTTTTGGACTAAAGGTTAACGAAATGTGAATGCTGTTCATTCGTTGACTGGATGAAATTTGTATTTCATTTATTTTGTTAAACTTTTCATATATGTCGTATATTTCATCATTGTAAATCGAACATGACTAACTTCATACAAAAACATAACTTCAGTGTCTGTTTATTGACCAATGAAATTATATCGTTTCTTGCTTATAGTGGATTCAGATGAAATTTAGTGTAGGTGGTTTTTATTTGCGAATACTTTTTTATTTAACTTACGGATAGGTTTTGTGAAGATATGAAATTATCAAAAGATTAGATTAAACTACATATTCTTGATGTATAAAGTACGATGTAATGCTAAAGAGTTCAGTGTAGAACGTGCACATGGTAATAATTATGAATTTTTAAAGAGTTCACAGATCGTTTTCATGCATAATGTGATTTTCAATGATTTGTCAAGTAACAGTGACAATATGATAAAGCCGTATTTCTTTCTATGATACAAGTTAAATAAAATGAGAAATATATTTTAAAAAAAGTAGATCAACAAGTTGGATTCTGTAAAGATGAATCGTGTTCCAACAGAATCGCGACGCTACGATTCATTGTGGAATAATCAAATGAATGCGGCTGAACACTTTATATTAACTTCCAAGACCATGAGTAAGTGTTTGACAGTGTAAACAGGAGAACATTATGAAAACTGTTAAGATATTCATCCAATATCCTAAGAGAACTATTGGTCAATTCCTATTGGTTGATTCCTACTGGTCAATTTTATGGTCGTCCTAGATATCAATGTCATGTGCTCTAGTATTATTTCTGATTGGTCGTCTTGACTGTCAATGTCACAGGCATCGATGCTGTTTCCTTCTCGACCTAAATGTATAAATACGCATTATCTATAACTTTTCATTGACCAGGACCCGGTCCTGGATCCCTAGTCCGGGATCCTGATTCTCTTCTGGACTCATACCTCGTACTTTCTGAATGCTTGTATAATACAGGTTCTACTTCACATCAATTCTTCTTCTTTACTCAATATGGGGGTTGGGACACTCGGATTAGAGTAGCATGTCGTGTCACCTCGCTCTCGTTTTCTGACTAAGGTATACTCGTAATAGTTCAAGCATATCAAAATGACGTGTTTACGTGCATGCGTAACCGAAACCTCTTCGACACTGTGGTGCACCTGAGCAGATAGTCAACATTATACGAAATTCTTACAATGGGTAGCTTTTACAAAGCGTGCATGGAGGATAACTCACAGACTAACTCCAACTGAAGAACGATATCAGACAAAACTGCTCACTTTTACTCTTTCTCTTTCTTTCAGTGGTTGACTAGATTATGAAAAATCAACAACTCAAAGGAAGCAGTAGAATTGGAAATATGGCAAAACTTCTAAGCATAACAAACATGAACTGGTGTGCACAACAAAATGATAGGAATTTTTCCTGCTACAATAATATTCAAAGGTGGAATAGAAAGGAATTACGGTAAAAGAACAGTTGTTACACAAAATATTTGCAATTTTTTTTTCATTTACAGAATTAAATAAAATAGGTAATATGATTTAACTTTCAATAGCTACTTACAGCAAATCCTTCAAAAAACTGGAAAAGTAATAGCATCGGTAAAAGCTGACTAGCTAATGAACAAACTTCCCTACAAAAGAAAAAAATAATAAATATGCAAAAAAGAAAACTTTCATTTTTAGATATTTTTTAATGAAAAGATTTCTTTTAAACAATTCCGAAAGTAAAATAGATTCATTAAGGATAACTTAGTTTACATAAACTTAGTGAAACTTTAAAAATGAAAAAAAAAGAAATATGATATGACTTTGATATTATTATAGAAACTAGTAGGTCAATTATTGAAGTTCATTTAGATGGCTGTTAACAATACTAAAAAGTATTTATAGTTAGAACAGGAATGCACTTCGAAAAGTTGAATTCAAGTAATGATTGTTTGAATGAATAGTGTTATAAATTTTATAAGTATATATCGTTTCGTACTGGTAGAAAGTAGGTAGTTTTCATGTAAAAATATACACTCACAGCCTATATCTAATCAGTTCTAAATATTTGAACTAATATTCTTGGTTAACCAACAAGCCTGCTGCACATGCACGCCGATGCTTTTTGGGCAACACAACGATTCTCACAAAAGCTAATTTTGCGATCATCCCTGGCCCATATGGGAACGCACATGTTGTCTAGATTGGTCTGCAGACAAGTGGACGTCCAAAAAGCATGCACACGTGCAGTGGTCCCTGTTCGGGCACTTATGAATCAACTCGATCCCTCCAACTAATTTACTACCCACAATCCCCAATCGGAAAGGTCAGCAAGGCGAGCTTTCCCAACTGCGAAATGAATTACCGAACCAACCAGCAGCCATTCCAACCATCTGGCCTCCAACTGCTTTGCGCTGATACAATATATTGGAGCCCCCAAACTCCACATGAAGCTGAAGATCGAGTTTGCCCCACAAAGTCAGCCGGAACGTACACGCTCCCATGAGGAGGATGTCATGAACTTAACCAAGCGCAAGCACTCAGCCAAGCAAGGTTAATCCCACTACATAAGTGGGAAGACATCACTGGCGTTCAGTACCGTTTCAGCACTGGATCACATAACTCAACTGGAGACCCTTGTTTAATGGGCCTCGACAACAGTTGACACAATACACCGAGATTCAGAGCATTTGTAATAACCACATAGGGCCGGCGTCAGTAGGATCTTTACGCCTGCTTCCCCAAACGAATAGCCTAGGGCTGCCTTCAAGAAAGCTGTAAAGCTATATCCCATTATTTCAGATTTACCTACGCTCATTGAACGGGATTCAGACCTTGGGGCGTTCGGTCCTAATCCCCCAGAGTGACAAAACCGCATCCACGACCTTGCGGCCATGAACACATACCATTATTCTGGGCCACGCTAGGCACATCATCACAAGCATTCGAAACGGCTTTTAGCCGCAGCGCTGTAAAGAACGCCACGTTGCCTGACGGGACCACAAAGAGGTAGCCGCCACCACAACCCCCAAATGCTTTATTTATACAAGTCACCTAATATAACCATTCATTTAGGTGACGAGACATTTGGCTACCTTGAGAGAGTCATAGTTATTAAACAAAAAATCTCTGATTTTTCAATACTTCAAAAACCTTTAATGTTGTAAGTTACTACAAAGTTTCTGATTTTTTGTTTGCTTAAATCATGTAATACAAAAGTTTATGAAATCTAAACAAGTTTATATTTTGATATTGTCATTTGTAAGTTATCACTTTAAATTTAATCAAATATCAACTAGTTAATTAAGAAAGCATATTAAATTCAAGTAAAATTAAATTTAACTCACTTATCTGATGTGAACATATAAGGAATGTAGTGTCGTAGGAGTAAAACAGGTAAACCAGTACATAATGCTACTACAGCTAAATCAAAGAAAGTTTGAGTGAATAAATAAATAAATACTGTTTGAATTTTTTTTCAATATATTTTTATATGTTGTACACACTTCAACATTGAATGAATGAGCATAAATTTACTTAACAAAATAAAAATAAACTTGTTTTTATTGTACACTTTCAATGAGAAAAATGATTTATCCATTGATTTATGAGATGATAAATTTATTAACATCTTTGTTCAACAACAATCATAAATTAAAAATAAAAATATTTCATATAACTACAGTTACTTTGTAATGGCCTCCACATACATCTGAGTTCGTTCATATTTAACTTGGTCAAGCCTTTTGATGAACTTACTTAACCGAGTCATTTGTATAGCAATAACTTATATGTACCGTTGCATTTTATTGTCTGGTTTGTTTGAGATGGTACGACTGAACATTGCTTACCACCCACGCGCATTTTCATCCTCTTCACTTTAATATTAGCCTCTCGAATATTGCAATGACTCAGCCATTTTCCTGTGTATATATAAGTACATTTTAATCTTATTGATTCATTCGGCAATTCGCTCACTCGCTAGCTTGCTTGCCCTTCGCTCCGTGTGTCTGTGGTCTTGTGGTCTATTTGTGGTGTGTCAAATAAACGTATTCAACACTTCGTATTCCTCATCTGATTTATAAACCGTGAGGCGCTATTTAGTAACGGTTGTCTGGACAAGTAGCATACGAAGTCTAAGAACAAATTGGATATCGACCGTCACGAAACTAGTGAGACACTGGCCACCACAACCTCAAGAATAAGCAAAACTTTTATCCTATATTATTGATTTCATGCGTTGATAAAGATAACACTTACAAATGATTGTCAATGCAGTGACGTATACATAGCGAGCACCAGCCGGATCAAATGCACCGAGTTTTTGACCAACACGAATATTTACTGCTGTAAACAATCCAAGAGGAACCTGTATTTGAAAATTTAATTGATCCAATATTCACAAAATTGAAAAAATAACGATTTTATAAAGAATAATCTGAATGAGATAAATGAAATGGGAAAATTAACAATCCAATTGTTAAACATATTTTAAAATCCAACTTTAAATTGCATGGTTTTATAATCTGGTTATGTTTTTTATTGTAATTGTTCTAAACAAACAATTCTCATTGAAAAACAAACGTCTTCAAAAATCACACGATCCAAGTTTACAAGGTGTTAGAATTCTACTCACAAGCTGATTAATCCTGGTAATTAAGACAAGCTGAAGTCTTATACAAACAGAAATTTTAAATCATATTAAATAAATTAATTCCTTACCATATATATTATGGACTGAATCTGAAATACGATGGCCTGAGCTCCCAAAGTTATACTTCCAAGAGTACCTAGAAAGTGGTTGAAAAGCATTTGCAGATAGGAGTCAAAAAAGTAACACTGAATACTGATAATTTTAAATTTATTAAATGGAAAGCGAACTACTAACAAGCACCACAAAAATAAAAAATAAACTTATATAAGTAGCTAGGTATAATTCTCCTAAAATACTACAAGTCACACTTTCATCCCGAGGTACATATATGTATATATATATATATATATATATATATATATATATATATATATATATATATATATATTCACTTGTCAAAACCTCATAATCAGACACTGTAAAGTGACCTGAATAGAAGAAAGCACTACTTCATTCACCGGATGAGTTCTTTATATGGTCTTTATTATAGGATTTGCGGTTAGCAAACGTGAAATACGACATTGAAAGTCAGCACTCTTAACCTTGTTTTCATGTATATTTTATTATAAGATACCATTTATATTACTAATACCTCGCAGAACTGAACGAAACATGTTTTCAGAATAGTTTTCAATGTAATTATCTGATCTCTTCAAATAAGAATATCATGAGTTTGTGATATGCTCGTCAATTAAGATGCTCGAAGCTATTACGCGTTCACCCTACTCGCTAAACTGGACGAAGGGCAATGACTCAGTGACACGATAGTCTGTTCTAATCCGTTTGTCCCAGGCCTTGCTAACTAGATCAAGAAGTCTTGATTAGGCGTATAGAATCCATTCTATAAGCACGCATAAAATACGAAGTGGCTAAGCAAACAAATCAAGCTTATTTATACAATGATAGAAACGCCCTTGAGAGAGCCACAAAATAGAGTACTAAAATAATCCATCAACCAATGACAGTCAAGGATTTTCCGAGAGGGAAATGTAAGCTGAAGGTCAACTGGCGTGAAAACATGAAAATTCAAAATTTCAAAATAAAATTACAAAATGAGGACCTTTCCAAGTGAGTTCTGGGAATCCAACGTCAACAACAGTTTGCGATAGAACGTTTTTTTAATAACTATCATGAATAAAAAAATTTTATTTTTGTACGTTGTTTAACCAAATTAAAGCAACTTACCAGCCAATAGCGTCATAATTTCAAAACACCATTCTTCAAGTCCAACCATTAAAACACCAGGGATGCCTAATTTGAAAAATTTACCCCAATTACTGAGTGCACAGTTAAGACTGAATCCTGAAAATTAAATAGACAGATAGCTTAAACTTTGACTGGCAACAGCAGGTTTGTAAAATGTTTAGTCTAATGTAGAATCGTAGATTATAAATGAAGCTATGAACAGCGAAAACCTCTGACTCAGCAAATAAGTATTCTTAATTTGTTAACAATACTATATGGGATTTCCGTGTATGCCAAAGTATTACCTTACCGTTATAAAAATCATATTAACCAGAAAGCCTCAGTACTTAAGTTGTGTTACGCCTGCACGTAAACACGTCATTTTGATATGCTTGAATTATTACGAGTTTACCTAGTCGGAAAACGAGAGCGAGGATCGAGGATCCGGCGACACGACATGCTACTCTAATCCGATTATCCCAACCCCCATATTGAGTAAAAATAAGAAGACTTGATATGAAGTAGAACCTGTATTCTACAAGCATTCAGAAAGTACGAGACCTAAGTCCAGAAGAGAATCAGGATCCCGGACTAGGGATCCGGGACCGGGTCCTGGTCAATGAAAAGTTATAGATAATGCGTATTTATGCATTTAGGTCGATAGGGAAACAGCATCGAAGTCTGTGACATTGACAGTTAAGACGACCAATAGGAAGCAACATTTGAAGTGACATTGACAGTCAGGACAACCAATAAAAAACAACACTGGAGCACGCGACATTGATATCTAGGACGACCATAAAATTGACCAGTAGGAATTGACCAATAAGAACTGAGCAATAATTCTCTTAGGATATTGGATTAGTATCCTAATAGTTGTGTCTTACAACATTGTTTCTAAGACGATAAAATAATTTATTGGGAGCGTAATTATAAATTGTATTACTGCACCTCTTGATGATAGACTTTAGTAGATGCATGAGAGTAATATCTATCTTATACGAAAAAGTTCCCCAGTAAATTGTTCTGTTCTGGGTTCACAGCTAATTATTGATAAGTAAACGGAAAGATATTGAGAACTGTTTGCTTCCTACAAACATTGAGTTATTTTAATCACTTAAGTCCAGCAACAACTTCAAAACTGGTAACATACGAAGACATTTCTCAAAGATTTAGTCTGAAAAATAAGATTGTCAAAGTTATTTCATTTTGAGCTTTATTTTATAACAAATATCCAATTAATTCCATTATCGTAATTTTTTAGATATTTTTTAACTACTTATAAGTAGTTAAACTAAACTTAACCAGAATTCAAAGTGTGAAGATGGATCAACATTTGGTTCAATGAAGCAAAATAATAGGCACTACAGATACATTTGAAGACGATGCTAAACTGTTGACTGAAATACTGATTTCAAACGGTTATCCACTAAAGTTTACAAACAGCTGTAAAAGTTATTCAAAACAAAAGTCTCTCTTTTATTCCGTGGAAAAGTGTTTATATCTCTTTACCTTTTAGAGGTGAATCATACGGTTCGATCACAAGACAGAGACTAAGAGCAGCCATAGAGAAAACATACTATACTAGTAAACTGATTATAATGGGAAGGACTAAGCCCATGATTTCACATAGGCCCAGACACTGCTCGAACGATTGCATAACATCCCATGGCATTTATCAATGTTTGTGTTGACACACAAACATTAGGAAGAGTGATCGAACTTTACAGTTAATGGAACATGTACCTAGGTGGCTCTAAAACCACTTACCTTCAGATGACCCCATAAACCTGGGGAACAGAAAATCATGTTCGTCAATAACAAAATACGTAACAGAAACGAGGTATAGGATCTATATCAAGACAGCCTTTAAAACATTGTTTACAAACGTTCAAGGATGGATTCTGAGGTTTACACAAGCCTTGTCTTTTCGAAAATTCGAACCCTCCTTATGTGTACCGAAACAATTTGTTATAACCTTGAATTTACCCTGGTAATCATGAAGCCATTTTATGGCCCTAGGGTAATGTGACAATTTCCTATTCTTTCTCTACTGAGTTAATTTTCTCTCCTTTTTTTAATTAATCTTTTATTTATTATCATGTAAAATGCCTTGACAAGTATATATGTGACTAGACTGTACATCTCATTTCCCAGACTAACTACGTCTTCTCACTGTTCTATCAAAATTTACGAAAGGGACTAATTGTCTTAAAAATAACAGCATGTTAAAAGATCACTCAATAATTAGGTAGTTCCTAACTACTCTAACAGAAAAAGATTTTATCAATGAAAGCTTATATCAGTCTTCATCTGAAACGCTTCAAAAATGCGAAGTAAAGAAAATCTCGATTGATAAATAACTTTCGGTAGTGACATCGAAAAATGTCACTATGTTGTATAAAGGTTCTTTCTCTGTTTTATATGGTGTACGAAGCAGATAGCTTGGTAAGTGAAATTTTTAAATGGACCATCTTTTGATCAAGACATTGATTGTTTTCCTGAGTTCACAAGGGCTTCTTTGTAAACCATGAGTGGCATTTATATTATCATAAAAATGGCTGAGTTTTAGTAAATCCAATATAAATAAAAAGGCTTCACTTCATTCCACTTTCAAAGTAGTAACGTTAACTTTAATTACTTTTTCAATTTGGTCACATCGATGGTTACAGAACCCAATAAAGTGAAACTGATAGTAAAATATCTACCGTAGGACAGCGATTACACCTTAGCTTGGGTTTCTTCAGCCATAAAAACCTTATCAGTGATTGAGACCAACCCGTTTATTAGGCGAGTTGCTTATGAACATTTGAGTCAGAACTTAGTGCAACATATTTCAAACTTTTGTGGATTATCGCATGAATCGTATAATCTCACTAGTGAATTCTTGACTCAATTCTAACCTCAGGAATCTACCTTTAAGCCATTACACAAATCACCACTCAATGACTACTATGTTTAAGGTTTTAAGAAATTAAAGTACCCGGAACTTTCACTGTGAATTAATATGGGTATAATTTATTGAATTCAATCTGTGAATAAGTTTAGATGTTTGTTTGTGGAGACAACTTTTAACTAGTTGAAGAATATGTATTATTCAGGCGGCGTTTCAGAGTTTGAAATTTTCTTATAAGATACTTGGCAATTCCTAGTAATATTTCAATCGATATGTATGATTACATAAATACATTACACGAATGAAATTTCCCATCATAAAACCAGTAAAAGCACGAGAAACACAACAGAACATCTATGACAAGTACAAACCATGTCAATCTGTTCAGTAGGCATAAGATTATAAGTGGACACAGTGACACCCTAAACTGGTAAATTTATTACAAAAAGAATTATCTGTAACTCTTTACACTGACATTTTAAAAGAATCGACCTAATTGTACTTCTACTTGGAACCAAGTTATTAAAGTGTGATACTGCTTCTCCACTTATTAGAACAGAGTACACGATTTTCAATTGTTATTATTAACATTATATAAAGTATGGCTGGATGGTTAAAAAATTAACTTTATCACTTACCATTCCATGTTTCTTTATAAACTTTGGAAGTTAATATATATCCCAATTCACAGAGAAACATACAAGCGAAGGATAATGAAAGGCATATAGCTGAAGCACTAGAACAAAAAAAAAATAGAATTATTATTGGCTTTATGTATTATTTAAGTCAGTATTTATCATTTTTTTTAAATTATAATAATCGAGATCATCGTGTTTACACACACTCACTAGTAAATAGCTTCGTGAGAAAATTCTCGGAGTTCTAGTAAGAAAACATCAGCTCAGTCGTCCAGAAGTTAGGCGTTCGCGCGCAAGACTGAAAGTCCTAGGTCCGAGTCCTGCGAGGTGCAAGAGTCGCAGGCGCGCACTGCTGATGAGTCTCATACCAGGACGAAACGGCCGTCTTTCAGTGCTTCCAGGTTTCTAATGATGGTTTAACAGTGATTGATTGATGATTTGAATCATTAGTTATTATTTTAAATAATGAAAAAACATTTTGGTCACGACATTTTGACCAGCATAAATATGAAGCAGATAAATCTCTACACTAAGTAAAAAGTTAATTTATTGAAAATTCTCAATGAGTTCCTCCTTTTTACCTTATTCAACAAGTATTAAAAAAAAATTTTAAAAACTAAAACTCAGTTGCTTATAATTTATTCTTTATGTATTTCAAAAATTTAAATATAACTTTCTTTACCAGGAATACATGTGGTTTAGTAGAAAATAAGCAAATGAGTCTCTACATGCATTTCTGACAAAAGTTTAATGAGAGAAATAAAATCCTACTTCTATACTTTACATAACATTTCAATGATTCCTGTCAATTCCAAATTTCAAATGAAGCGGATTCAAAAAGTAATGGATACAAGATATTTGTCAACTTTCTAACTTATCATCAATGTTTATTCTCATTAGTGCCATATATTGTACCTCAATTATCTTTCGTGTAGAACGTCGACTTTTTTAGCCTAATATTGATGGTAGATCATAACCAACCCTGTTTCATGAGATGAATACTGCGTTAACATAAACGTATACACGGATTACACTTTATTTTAGAATATTTTTTCTTGCTAATGCTATCATAATGTAGACATGATGTTACTTACTAGGTATAGATTTTTAATTGACTTAAACCTGAGAATCGAATGACCTAAATGCCACCAATCAATCAACTTAAGTGAGAAAAACAATACCAAGCATACAATTTACCTACTAAATGGTAGAATTCTATGTGCTTTAACCACTAAGCAACTACTCGACAGTACAGAAAGCAATGATCTCCAGGAAAACTTTCTTCCTGTTGCTGACAGATTATTCATTGGGTAAACAATGCGATATTATACCGAAAACATTCATCTCAATCAAGTTAATAGATCAAAGCAAACAAACAGTTCCATTCGGAATAACCCTTCTGCTTCAATGTATCCACATTTGAACGATTAGTCTTCATTTGAACATTGATACTGACACTTGGTATACACCATTTTAGTTTCTCGTCCCAATGATAAATTCTTACAAATTAGTCTTCATAAACGATATAGCTAGAGTGTAAAAATCCAGAATAATGATAAAATTGTTCGACCAACACTTTTTTTCATACTATCAGCATTTAAGAAATATCAGTAAGAATATTTACTGATGCTTATTAAAAGATTAAGTGAAACTATTGAATAAAACACAATAACAACGGAAATTTACTGAAAATTAAATTATTTGCCTGATCAATTTAATGAATTCGATAACAGTAACACATCATGACAACTTACCGCAGTCCATAGTTAAATCGAATCACAAAATAATACTGTGCAAACACGTTAAAAACTGTTCCCGTAAATGCTGAATACACCATAGGTTGAACAATATTTTGTGTTTGTAAGTATCGTGCAAATGTTAAGAATAGAAAATCAAACTACAAAAAAAAAACACAAAACAGAAAATCAATGTAATTGAAAAACTTAACGAATTGTGATCAAGTTAACATGTGGCATATTCACATATGTAACTAAAATAAATTTAGTAATTTAAATACCAATCAAAATGATCAATCATCATACAATTTATCTTTAAGCAAGATTCAAAGTGTTAAACGTTTTATCTCATAGGCATTAAAACAAAAATTGCCGCTAGAAGTGAGAATATTCGGTTATTTAAAGCTAAGAGCCGATCTTAGTTTTATGCCGCAAAAAACAAAAGACATTCAGAGCTAACTATTGGCTAGTTAAAAATAACTCAATAAATAACAATTACCGTTAGCAAATATTTTGAATGAATCAGTTACTTTTCAAATTCTATCTATTGTTAGAAGTTGATTATTAAACAGTATTCAACCTGCCGTAAATCTCTTATTGCTAACATACTCAAAAATTAAAACCCATAAATTACGAACTAAAACAAGTTTCCACTATGTTTTTAAGAGCATATGACGATACAATCGTGCAACATTATTGATTCATTTAAAATTCCTAAGACTTTCTTAGGCATTAAAGCATAAAGGTTTCTGCACTTCTGCTGAACAGTCATTCTAGATAAGCAGATACTACATTTATTACTGGTGAACTATAGTTCGTATTGGTTGGTCAAGTTCGTATAAACGTTTTATACATCAGCAAACTATAAAACGTCATTCAATCATAAAGTTGTTGTGATGATCAAGTAAGAAATTGGATACTTAAAAATATAAAAACATTGTGTGAATTTATAAAATAATAATATACCAAGGATCGACGCATTTGCTAAGCATAACTCACCCCAAGACCAGGCAGAAAGTATGCGATATATTCTGATGTGAGGCTAGATAAAGTGCAGTAGAAAACATAGTATGATATCATATATATATATATATATATATATATATATATATATATATATATATGACAAAGTAGGTCGGAGAACGCTAGTCGGCGGCCAATGCTCCATTTTGGGCAATGGTAGTAAGTAAGTAAGTAATTTACAGCTATTGATTCACACTTTCAAATTCAGTTTATTTTTCAGGTCGATACTATACTTATCAAATTTCTACTACTGATGATCGTTTGGATTTCAGCTTTTGTCAACTTCATGGGTCATGGCACTATGAGTAGATGTGTTAAAACGTCACTCATTGGGTCTTAGGTAGAGGGTTTTCTTACTTACCATGTTAGAATTTGTTCTATTTTCCTGTTCTGACAGAAATTTCCTAACAAAATGATCTGCATAGACATCATTTTGCGATGCTTTCTCTCACTAATTAATTTATCTATCTACGACATTATTTGTCTCCTCTTTACCGGTGAGTTTAAAACTGAGTGAACGTTAGTAAGACTGTCCAACAGCTCCTATTTATTTATACTTTCATTACACTTGATTAGTATGTCATCTTTATATCGATAGTAACAATCTAACTTATTGAGATGTCTTTCAAAAGTCCATTTTCAAATTTGGCTAAGAAAATGTCGGCGAGGATTACATCTAGAGAAGATCCTATTGTTACTCGATATACTACTCCATGAAATTCGTTGTCAAACAAAAACTGAAAATGCACTGTACATTTTAACCGAGACTCCTTCATTTTATTGATTAGGATCGGTATCTCTGTTTTCTTTTCCAGCAGAAGTTTACATATCTAGTCGATGTTTTCCGTCACTGGAATCTCTGTGAATATGGATGTTATGTCCTTCACATTCATACTTTATTGTACTTTCGCAGTGTACTTCTCAATGTTTATCAGTATAGTCAATATGGTCTTTGTGTGATTCTTTTTGCTTTCAAATTGGTTACAATAAGCAACCAGTGTAGTCTTGAATCTTTCGAGTTCGACTTTTGTCGCCGGGTATCAAGTCCTTTGTCTGGGTACGTAGATTCTCAGACTGAACATCAGTCTTCAAATGATCCACATGTCTAGGTGTATCACAAAACTTAAAGCCTGGTGACAAAACTTCTAGTTCAGTCCTATCCAGATTAACAGAGGAAAGGTTAAAACACACAGGTTACAGTCGTCTGGAAAATTAGGTTTGAATATTTGGTTGTTTAATCCTTTGATCAAATTCTTATATTATGCATTTTATTTACACGATTTATGGTGCCATAATATTGATTACAACTCGACACCTTACCCTGAATCATTTTGACCTCTACTAAATAACCCTTCTAATTTATAAATAACACAATCTTGAAGCATGCATATTTTAATAGTTGCAAAATTTCATCATTTTAACAATGTAGCATCGTCTAATTAATTAAAGGATTGTTTATTTTGTGGTTTTTTCAAATCACACAGTAATAATGAATTAATAACTATAGAGCCCGATGACTAATTTCGCTTAAATATTTTTTTGTTATTAGGACGTTAAAATAATGGTTCTCAATAAATTTACCTATAGGACGACACTAGATTCTTGATACTCAGACATTCAAGGTCAACCTTTTGAGAGAGAAACAGATATCAAATGTAAGCGAGTGTATTGACGTTAAGTACAAAGCACTCTCGAAGTGAAATCAGTATAGTACATCTAACAGTATTAAATAACCTGTCATACCTGGAGAAGTATGTATCACTTTCACTGAGTAAATCAGTGACTATGAAGATTTTTCCCAATATTATAGGTTGGGAAACTATTCCGATAAAATTAGAATCACCACATTATAGATTTAAATATTGGGAAATTAAATTACGGATTATTTAAACAATGTTTCTCTGTCTTATTCACAAAACTAGTATTGATCGCATTGAAGCGATATGAGAAAAAATTACTCTCCTGAAACTATTGGTTGTTAGCTTTCATATACACAGTAATACAAATGAATCAAATAACTACACACTTACGATGCAATTAAAGGGTCTTGACCAAGTAGTAATAATATTGTTTCAATATTTAAATGTATGCATACCAATATCATATACATTAAGCATACAACGCATAAAGCTGTATAAATTAAGAAAAAAAATTTCAATTTGAATATGCAAATTTATTCGAATTTACCTCTTTGAAGCAGTGTCCCCATCAGTTCACGATTGCGACTTCCGTAGGCCTAAACATTGAGAAAAGAAAAACGTCGATAACACAGATCCATACATATATATATATATATATATATATATATATATATATATATATATATATATATATTATGAATGAAAATGTCTGTGCAGATTTAGATTACCAAGGAAACATGAAATTCAGGATTTAGTCAATAATGTCATTGGTATTAAACTGTTTTTTGCAATATTACAAGTCTAAATTCTTGTTTCCCAACATCGCATAATATTTATTATTTATAAGAACACAAGTCAAAGTAACTTGCATAAGATATCATCATTGTCATACAAACACTATCCAATGTTATCTAAATACTTGTCAGGAAAAGGCATCAAACATGTGACAGTGTATTTGTTGGTTTCATCTTACAACCATTATTTAATTTAACATCATAGGTTGCTACAATCATTAAAACACAGTCAATGTCAATCTAGTTGAAGATGAATTACAATATGACTAGGTATGGAGGTGTAATGAACAAATCTGCGGCCAGAACGATGAAAGGTGGTGAAATAGTTATTGAAACAAGTATGGATAGTTTGCTCTAGAGTAATTGGCTTTGTCCATTCGTATGACATCGAAACGTGAGATATAGCAACTGCAAACTTTTCATTTTTGATGGAAACGCTACTTGACAAACTAAATTTGAATCAGTACTACATACTTTATTTCTTGTTAGAATTAGTATCAGACTCAAACGGATTAATAGAAGATCAATGGTTTATTAACTTGTACGCTTAAATGTCTACCATAAAATTAGTATAAAGGTGGTTCATTTTTCATGTTATTGAGCTCGTAAACCTTATATTACACCACTCGGTAGAAAAATCGATCTTTCTTGATAAAAAGCTAGTGGACACTTTATACGTTGTTTGAACAATATAATCCAAAAACTCCAAAGCAAAGACGCCAACAATTTATTTGATGATGTTTCCTTGATTTAAACTTAAATTTTAATGATTGGAAAGTGATTTTCAGACATGAATTTGTGTGGTTTTAGGATAAAAAAATTTTGAATTTTCCCACTTGTCCTCTGTTTATTTATCGAAGTGCTTTAAACTTTATTAACGTTAATAGTCAACTCTTATTTATGAACACTTTCTTACATAATTTCATCAATCAAGCAATGTGATGGTAAAGAGTTCTTTATTTGATTCCTATTAATTTTCCATAGATAATAAATTTAAGTTTGTTCACAGCATTCATTCACATATTTCATAATTTAACATTTTAAACAATAAAACTTTTAATCACCCACTAAATAGAACTCTCACAAAATTCTACATCCAGTTTTCGTTTTTCATACAGACTTAGTTTATATTTTATGACATTTATCTTTTTTCTAAAGTATTCTTTGCATTCTTTGGTGCTTATGAACTGCATAGACCATAATTCTATAAATAACATCCGTTTCCTCTCGAGTAATGATAGGTTCAAGTTAAAATATTCCAACTATTAGTAAATGTCGGTTGATAGCTTCCTACTAATTATTTCGAACCACCTTGCTGTCAAATAGGATCATAAACAAAAATGCCCTAAAAGGCGAATTGATTATTTAAATTTATCGAAAGTCCTATAACTAATATTTAAATAATGGTATCTGCTTACCAGTAAGATCATCTATAACGGTGTCAATTGTCAGGTGTTCATGCACATCACCTCATAATTTTTAGTACATTGAAATCATCAATCAATCATTGTTAGACCACCATTAGAAACCTGGAGGCACTGGACAGGCGTTTCTTCCTAGTGTGTGACTGACCAGCAGTGCGCATCCACGACTCCTGCTACTGGAAGGATTCGAAACTAGGACCTTCGGTCTTGCATACGAACATCTAGCGTCTGAACCACCGAGCCGGCATCCGACGGTGTTAATGTCTAACTCTAATCAATCTAGAGATTTTTCGCAACCTCATCCATTTGTCTTCGATAGTTACTTCCTACACCCGATAGGGTTGAACTCCACTGGTTATGTCTTTTCACTAGAACTGCGAGAATTTCCCCACGAAGCTAGTCTCTTGTCAGGACATTTTTCGATTTTTTCAATTAGAGTTATAGTTTCAGTGAGTAAAAACACTGATCTTCTCATAACTCTAATTGAAAAACACAATCTTTCGGTTGAATGCAAGCAAACATATCAATCAAAAAGTATAATTCAATCTATCAAGTAAAATATTACTGAATACGATTCCAAGATATATTCTACTAGGAAGTGTACAATATAGTATTGATAGTTATTAGTTTTCAAGACAACATGATAACAACTGTAGGATTTGATATATACCTATTAAAGTAATAGTTTATTAAATTTTTGTTGGGGTTGTTAGATCCCCGAAATTCGCTTGATCAATGCCTTATTTTGGTTTTTACGTTTGCGAGCATGGGCTGATCAGTTGACCTTAAGATTTCATTTTCCACCAGGAAAATCCATGGCTGTGATTGGCTGCTGTGTATTTTAGTGTGCTATTTTCTTAAATGTCTCAAGGACGTTTCTATGATGTATAAATAAACGGGAGTTGTATGCTTGATTGTACTGTGATTTCTGGGTGTTTGTGGAATGTACTTTCTACGCTTACAAAGCCTTTTTGCTCGCTTTGTGGATTCAACGTAGCCTACCTGGACGCTGGTAAAAGTCTCGTTCGCGTTTATCGACTAAGGTAAACTCGTAATAGCCTCAAGCATACTAAGTGACGAGCGTAACAATTTTTAAACATATTTTCTAGTAAATAACAAAAATCAGAAGGTTACAGTTTACACTGACTCATTACTAGATCTGTGATAGTGTTGTATCTTTTTTAAAAAAGCATTTTTCCATTTAATTTAATGACTTCCACTTAATTTAAGCTTTATTAGACATGTAGTCATTGTCAATGGAGACAGATGTTTTGTACATATCAAGTAGTATATGTTAATCACTAGTCCAGTATGAAAGATTAATATGTCTGTAAAATATATGCAAGGAAAAGGCAGCCAATTAATAACTCAAATGTATTAGATAGATCATTTGGAAAAAAATATATAAAGCTTACAATAGTGATTTTTGCAAAAACAAAAATTTACTCAAATCAAAGTCTGCTTCAAATTATACTTTAGAATTTCTCTCATTAGAAGCTAAACATTGTATTTAAAAATTTATATGGTAAATAAAAAAAACTCGATGTAGATTTAAAGTACTTTTTTGTAATATCAAGAATGATTACTCACTTGTGAGAAAAGAGTATCACATGCACTTGAAAATCCTGTATCAATACTTAAACCAAATATATTAATTATCTGTAACAAGAAAAAAATAACAAATTTTTACAAAAATGTATTGAAAACACCCAGTGATGATTTGAATAGAAAAATATGCAAGGTTCATTTTATTAGAGAAGACTACAATGAATTCAATACAATTAAACTGTTTACTAGACAGAGATTGAAAATTATACTGTTACAATTCAAAGTCCAAATGATTTAGAAGAACTCTGCATGATTACTATCTCAGTAATGTAATGTCTTTTATTACACATTCATTAGTCTATATTCAGACAATTAAAACCAATCAATCACATAACTGTGTTCCTTTTAATCAACATGAAACCCAGATGTTAAATGAAATCTTACTTTTAGGGATCAGTCCTATAGTACTTATCACAAGGACGTCAAACACACGTCCTGGCCAGTCAAATGTGAAATGATCATTTTTTTAAAAATTAATTCTCATAATAACCAAAACTATCAAATTTGATCCAGCTTCCATTCCAACTCATAAATTTTTATATTCAACCATATATTTTCGTCGAAATCATGAACTAACTAAAGCTTAAGGACCGAAAAGCATTGAACGGCTGTTTCACCCCATCACAGGACTCCTCGTCAGTGAGCAGTGACAATCTCGCGACGAGAATCGAACCCAAGGCCTAGTAAACGGTGATTAACTTTTTACTATATTACATATTGTTATTTTATTCTTTATTTAAGACTAGTTGTATTCTGAGTGATGCTTTCTTACTATCATAATTTGTTTTAGGCTGGTATTTATACGAATTTAATTCAATTTTCTTTGAGTAATTAGGCAAATAAAAATTCGTTAGTTTTTATTTGAGTAATCGTAAATTATACTGTGAAATGATAGTTAATACAAATTCATAAAGACAAGTTTACAGATTATAGAAAATATACAAACTATAGGGAACGAAAGATTTAGACTACAGAAATAAAACAACAAGATTACCAAACTCACACAGTTAGCTAATGATGAAGCATCTAATTCTTCTCGACTTAAATGTCCACAAACCATTACACTGATTGAAGGATTAATAAAGCGTAAGAGCTGTGAAATCATCTGGGAAAAAAAGAAATGTTTGAGAAAAACTCAGTTTATGTTTCTAAAGTATGCATAACAATGAAATTTAAACTTGATTTATTTATACATGGTATTCACACTTTTAACCGACTTGTTCACGTACTCACCCCTACTTTTTTAAACCTTCGTATGTAAAGTTAAGTAAACGGTAATATTAAAGAGCATCATGAAAAGTCACAAAGATTTCTTAGTTTCGGGAAAATATTGCATTGCTTAATAAATCACGCTGCCTGTTTAGATCTATGTGGATTATCTCATGTTAAAAAGTTGGTCGGAGTTTTTTAACCCCTTTGTTTCTGTTTCTTTCTGTTTATCGAACGATACGGGATCGAGATGCTGTTTATCTCAGATAGATAGTTTTAACTGTGGATAGATAGTTGAGTTAGTAAAATAATGATAGCCTTCACCCTATTTCAAAACATTCATCATTTTATACTGTCCCTTCTCATCACTTTGATATGATCTGAACAATCAGTTGGATATATCTTTAAAAAAACCTGATTTACCTACGATAGCTTGAAGAATTAGATTCGCTTGCTTTAAAAGCATCAAGTTTCAAACGAACTAGAATTTTATAGGTTTATTTAAAGTGAAAGAGAAATGAAAATTATATTGTTTGAGCGAAGGAAAATTGTGACAGGCTATTCGCATAAACATTAATAGATAGTCTGATAGGTATTTGAGATGTCACATAAATTCCTTCACCCATTATACCAATATTAATTGTTGGTTGTTGATTATGGAAGAATACACGTCATGATCAGACTAAATGTGTATTCTTAGTTTGAGTTGTGTTAAAATCCAACAGACTAGTGCTGGCTGGGTATCAAGTTTAGAGAGAAATCCTAGCGTTATATCTGTGTGATTAATTCATCATATTCTAGATGTGTTCTGCTTACTTAATCCAAATTGATCGGGAAAACAGAAATACTTGAAGTATCTAATGCATTCTGATGGAACAATGAGAAGACAGTGTGGTGCGCGCTACTTATGAGTAGAATATGACGCGAATAAAAACGTAATGTCTGGCAGCAGAAGATGGGGGAAGATCAAAAAAGGAAGAGCGGGAACACAATGGGATTTGTATGAAACGCATGAACAGTGAAATGCCAGACAATGGATTAATGTATGCAACAGGAACAATCCTGTTCGATATTATAGATTGATATTTTGCAAATTAACGATTTACGATATGGTTTTTCTATTTTACGAATTAACTCTGTAATATGAGATAAATACAATTCGGTTGCCCTCACCTGTGTTCTCATTCACTACAACAGAGTACTATAAAGATTTATATAAGGAACTTATCGCTTTAAATCCATAAAGTTACCAATAGACATATTACTTAGCGTTTAAAAGAATGATATTAAACGATCGGTTTATAGTTAACACTAGTATTGAGAATTTTATTTGATGCTTGTTACCGCGATACTAGCTATTTTCATTTAACCAAAAACAAGGCTTTAGCATTTTATGCATACTTCTGTCCATCAATAATATTAGAAATCAACGGTAAAAATAACTAATTTTGGAATCTAGCTTCTTATGTTATTGTATAACAAGGTGTGCTAGATCAGTGTTTAAATATTTTGAAGTTTTCACTAGTAATGTACAAGTTCTAACTTCGTTCAGAAACCAGGTTATATCATTCACTTTAATTCAACCAAAATCCAACTCAAATACCAATATGTAAACCTACACTTAACCTTCAGTACTTTCACCATGTTCTTGTGTACCACTGCTTTTGAATCTCTTAAACAAATAACCTAATCACTCAGCTTCTTGATGACTGTCTCTAAACTACTATCAATAGTAATATCGGTAATAATTATTGACGAGGCTGGCTACGACCTTATAGTTTACAAATCGATACAAATTATGCTTGTTGTCAACAAATCAAATTGGTTTGATGTATCATTTTCCATCACTTTAATCTGACAAACATTGATACAGGATTATATGAAGTCGATTCATAATTTATTTCACTTAGCTATCATTCATAATTAACACATATTACTGATCAGTTGATTGATCATTTGAGTTTACGTTAAGAAAACTTGTCTGTTGAATAGAATAAATACCAGTTTTACTTCAAAATAAAAATAATTCATTCTTTCTCATCACAAGTTGATTGTTTCATATATATTTTTTAAGTTTTAGTTCTTAAATGATAACTATTTTCTATTAGGCTTTAAGTGAAATACTATCTGCTGATCACTCATTCAGCATGCAATCAAAGTCTTGTACTCATACAATGAAGATTTAGAAGAATTCAAAGGAATTATAGTTTGAAAGTTATGTGATAATTTGATAACATTTAACTATCCATTGTTAATGAGTAAATTAGTGAAAACTTTGAATACATAATTGTAGCCTTAACCTCATTAAACTTACATCGTAAGTAACCTTGACTGAAAATGTTTTGATTGGTTAATATTTGTTTTCCAGATTATATCAAAATGTTCTAGAACTACAAAATTATAGCCAGGTTAATTCTGTAAAACAGGACTATTGATTAATCTACATTTGTTTGTGTTAGCCACGACAATGAGCCGCTGGTGTTGCTTTGTAAATCTTGTCTCAAAGTAGGACTTATTTTTCGGTATGATTAACTGTTCACAGTTTATCCATTTACGAATCTTCCATATTCCAAGATTACTATCATTATTCAACCTCATTTATTGTTATAACTAACCTAAGTTGTGGAATGAAACTTGTTATAATTGTCATTCTCATAGCCAGTATGAAATGGTACAGAAAATCTTTAGCCCAACTGGATGCATTTGATGTCGTTATATTTTTCTGAACTGAGTTATTTAATTGTAAAACTTTCAATACCATTGTAGAAAATATTATCAGCAAAATTAATTTATTCTAATGACCTGATTAATGATTGGTTATTAATAAATGCCTGTTTATATCAATATGCATTTGGATTCCCACTGATTTCAGTATTACGTTAACCTTTGGTTGTGTGACTGATTCATTTGGACCATAGTGATTGAATGACTGATTATAAATTATAACTACTGGTGGGGAATTGATATGTAACCACATATATTAAACATGTATCCAATTAGGAAGGTACCAAGAAGCCTGGTTTGAAGAGTTTAATGCAATCGGATAGGCTTCAAATTTTCTTTTGACTATATACTATAGTACTACTATAGTAGGTAGTGGCACACAAGCCAACAGAATCACTTCAGTCAATCCTATGTAGACCAAAGGACAAAATGACAAAAGAAAAACCAAATATCATCTACAAAATGAATTGCTCAGACTGTGAAAAACACTACATAGGACAAAGTGGACGGCCTCTTCAGATTCGTTTACGTCAACACCAATTAGCAGTCAAACGCCACGACGATTCTTAGCTTATATCAATACACACCGACAATTATGGACATTCATTCGATTGGGACAATGTGGAAATACTGGATAGGGGAGGACAAAGAACACTAGGGAATTTTTAGAAGCTTGGAGCTCAGGTCAATCAGCAATCAACAAACACATCGACACTGACCCAATTTATCAACCAATCAGAAAAATCATAGGTGACATAAGATCAAGAAACAGATCAACAGGGAGATACAATCAAACAAAGGTGCAAACAACGACAGGTTTAAGGTCAACAGCAACCAATCAAGATCTAGGTTAGCAGAACAAGCTACAGGTCAAACGTGGAGAAATTCGAATACTTTACTTCTATCTGAAGTTTGTGCTGATGATGTTGTTCAGAAGAACAATGAAAGCTCCACAACCAAAACATCCAGCTCAGAGGACGAAACACCACCACAATACTTAGTCATTTTCATAAAAATAATTTCAACTGGTTTTCATTTTCACGGATACTGTTTCTAAGTCTACCTGATTTATCGTGATATAAGTATTCATCAGCATAAAACGTGATGTCTGTTCATACATTTATAAATCTATGCATGAATTTGAACTCCATTTCGACCTATACGACCTGCCTAGTTTCTAAGTATTTGTGTGATTAATTCAATGATTTGAATATAAGTGTTATAATTAAACTTCGTTCATTGTATTGATTTTTTTTCGGTATATGAAATAGTCTCTATCAAAGGAAAAGAATTTACGAACTCACTGTAGGTAATGCTAGTGTAAAAAGCTTTTTAAGCTCATTGCATCGACCACTTTTAGGTATATTGATTTGATGAACTTTATACCTGAAAAGTAAAAACATCGTTTTATACGATTAGAGCATTGATTAAAGAAGAAATGTTGATTAGTTTGTTTAACAACAATGATAATTTTAACTTCAAACTTGACTCAAATTTGGCTTTATCGCATTGAAATATATCAATATAGCCATGATGAAGAATAAACAAGTCAATGTTTGTTGTTAATAGAGTGAATATGAAAAAAATTTATTTTAATCTTCAATGAAATATAAATGATAAAATCGATAAAGTAATTATTTGGTAAAGTTTTCTTTCTCATATTGTTACAAGTAATAATGGTGTATTCAATTTGAAAAAGAGTATGTTACTGTTCTTCAACAAAAAAAAAATCATTAAAACTTCCATTGTAAATTTTTCAAGCATACTCAAATAGTTAACTTTCTATATGTGAACAGCTATACAGAGAGGGTGAACAACAAGTATACAGTAATCCTGCTTACTACTATTCAATCTTCTTAATGGATCTAATTGGTTCTATGCAAAAAGTTCAGTTTTATCCCATTTAATGAATACATTGAATACGATATCCATATTATCTTAGCCATTCCTCATCGTATGAACACCAAATTTGAAGCTAAGAAGGTTTGTATTTCTCACGTTTACTAAAAGTAAGAGAAATAACAGCTACCAACATTTTCTAAACAAACTCATAAGTATGAAAATCTCTTTTAATAAATTTTCCGACCTATACTGTCTCTCTGCATTTGGATCACAATACTAATCATACTCAGTTCTGATCAGAGGTAACTACTATCTTCACGTGTACTTTCGCAATTTTGATTCCTAATATTTTCTTATCATTACTTTTGTTAATTATATCTAAATACTTTGGTAACTTCTAAAATAAAAATTTCTCATAAAACCACCACAAGAAGTTTAAATGATCACAATTCAAGCGCTAACTCCTTGATGTCAATTAAGTTTCTTAATTTAAAAACATGGGGTTATCAGTATTGATAAACGAAACATATATCACGTTCATTGAACTTTTTAGAATACATATTATAAGTCATTTTCTAAAACAAAATAGAAAATTTCATTGTCTGAAGATGTGTTTTGCGTTCAATAGAATAATGACCCTATAAAACCTGAAATTCTTAGAGTTTTTTTTTGGAAACAGTACTATTTGGCGTTTATATCTTAAGTTATGTACAGTACAGTTAAGATATTTAGCTTATGACACTTGCCTTAATTTAACTTTAACTAAGTAGTCAGTATAATACATGACAAAATGTTTAAAGACGATGTATTCAAATAAAAACTTTATTTTTTGATGGACAAATGTACATAGTGAAATTACTCACCATACTGAATGATTTACATTCATTGGCAATGCAAAAATTTAACTACTGAATGTTCTTACACAAGAAATGGTCACTGTATTTCAAGTACATTAATCAGAAAAATTCAAAACACTTTGTTCATTAAAACCATTTTATCACCTCAAAAATTTGTCTCTTTATTGTTTAGACGAGACAGTTAAATTCATACAACTAAACTGAAATGTTAACTTTGTGTTACAACACATAATAAACAAGCTCGAAATTTAGTGGCAATTTTAAAACAAGTTTGAAATTAATTGATTTTTTTTAAGTGTTAACATTTAAGTATGTGATAAATTACAATGCTATCATGTTTTCACATGCTAAAGGTTATTTCATATGAATTATGACTTAAATGTATCGTCTGCCTAAAATGCATTGAACATAATGTATCAACATAGTGAGATAATTTTTTCAACATTGTAAGAAGGCTTATTATTCATCAATAGTAAACTTCATTACTGGTATACAAAGTACTTGTTCATGTATTTGAAGTTAAAATAGCTTGTTTATGTGATACGGCTTAATGCTACTGGTCTGATTCTGTTACTTATATGCGCATGCCTCCTAAAAGTTAAAAAGAGGATACAGAAATAAACCTTGACATTTTAGTTTTTTCGTAATGTGTTTAATATTATGTTTCAGCTGAATCTAAATTCTAGTAAATAGTAATATTATCATGTAAGGTAAAATGGTAGCCTAAGTTAGTAAAATAATTAATTAGAACGTTTTTTTCTTCATTTACTAAAGATGAAATCAGTATTATTTGGAAACGTCTACTAGCTGGAATTGTTGCTTCGCTTTTAAAGTATTTCATTTAAATGTTTATCAATAGGCTGACTCTGCTTCATTAAACTACGAACACCAACCATAGCACAATTTAATTGTAAGTAATATTCAGTTAAACTGTTATTGTTTAAACGTAAAAAGCTTACGAGTCTCTTATTACGACAAAACAGCGATCAAGAACTTCCTGGTTTACAATAGTTATCTAGCTAGATTCGGTTCGTTTTGTGAAACTTCAATTTAACAACATTATGAAGTAATCAAATATTTATTATCACCCTTTTAGGTGGATGAATGATCATCTCTCAAGAGTAATTTCGAAAAATAACTGACAGAACAATTTGAAATGTTAGCTGTTAAGCAATGTTTGTTAGGTAACAAAGAGTTAGGAAGGTGTGATACACTTATCATGTAAGCAGATCAAAGGTGTTTTGACAATAAGGATTTGAAACAAGCTAATAATTACAGTTATTCATAATTCGGCAAAAAATTCACGGGGTGTTAACAGTTACATCAGTACAATGTTCAACATTCGAATTTCTACAGAATATTTACTAAATTGGTAGAAATGAATCTAGTAAATCGTTAGAAACATCGTTTCTTTTACTTTTAATGTTATTTATTAAGTATAGCAGAATGAGAAAAAATATTTTATACATTACGAAAAATATATATATGAAGTGATTTGGCCATTAGGTTCTACATTTTTAAAAGAGAATCTTAAACCAATCACTCCTTTTATTTTCCCTCGATTCCAGAGTGAAGCCAACATAATCTACAAACCTAAGACATGTTTCTTGAGAAAACTCTCGATGGAAGCACAAGAGAACTTCAAAAACTGGTGAACTTTCCATTTGCAGCAATGAGATTCAATGAAAAAATTTCTATTTTTGGATTAATGTTGTTTCTGTAACTATTCCTCTTTGTTCTTAACACTCATATCTCGATTCTTCCACTAACTTTTAAGGATTTTATTATTAGCTCTTACCAACAATGGTATGTAGCAACTTCAAGAGAAATAAAACAGAACAAAGATTTATCACAATTTTTAGTTCGTTATCCCATAGTAACTCGATACTAAATGTTGTACGAAAAATCATCGCTTTTTTCATATAACAGATGGAGTGTGATTAGCAACGGAATCTAGGATACGTGTTTCATACTATCTGCGATTGATTAGCTAGACGTACCTGCATCCCATAGCTGACGTTCACTATGGGATGCAGTTTCATCTAGCTGACGAGTCACAAATGACATGAAAATGGCGTCTCGGATTTCTCTGTTAACCACATTTCATTTGTTTTATAAAGCTTTGTGTCATAATCGTTATATTGAAGCAATCCACAAAGGATGCGCATATGTCTACTAAGACTGATTAAAATTAAGTCAAATATCAAATACGTGATAATATAAACTATTACAAATCGAATCATTTTTCTTGATTGCTGACAGTAAAATATATTTAACCCTGTCTATTTAGAATAGTAACATGTCAATAAAGAAAAAGGCGATATAATGGAAAGTATGCAATTTTTAGAACTTTAGAATGTTTATTGACCTAATTCACTATATCAACCTAAGTGTGTCTCTTTTAAAGTGGCATTACAACAAATTAAATACAGTTAACTACTACATAGATGCCTTTCTCGCTTATCACTGTACACATAAAAATTGAAAATTAATAATTCCACCAAAATAGTTACAATCTTAGCTAAATTTTATATATCATACAAGAGAAACGAAATGGAATTTACTAATATGTTTTTTTCATTTATAAAGAAAAAATAATGAATTTGAGAACACGTAAACATGTGACTTTGAGTGAGATTAATATCAAATGTTAAAATAACACTGAACATAAATCAATGAATACATTCTTTATCTTTAGTTTTAAGAATGCTAAACAATCGCATAAAATATATCTTCAGTGTTAATTTAAGTAATATCTTCCATGAAATTAAACTTACTTAATAAACGAAACAGTGGTGGTAACTGACAGTCTCTTTAACATGCTGTTTTAAAGAATATATCTTTGACCACTTCCTCGACTATATCGCAAATAAAATATTAAAAATCATTACATAATGTCTAGTAAACTTCTAGTTCAATAGGTTTACTTGTTACAGTCTGTGTACTCTGTTCATGTACACACCCTTCAAATATTTGAAAGCTCTTCCTACATAAAAATATATATAGATCTTAAATCAATTAGAGTTGGTAATTCACTCATGTGAAATAAAAAAAACTACAATTTTAGCTTGTTTCAATGTAGGTGAATAACAATCTCTACTTCAACATTATTCTACTAATTTTAATGTAAATCCTAACAGTCAAACAGAAACAAGTTTTAATGAATTTCTTTTCATAAGCAATTTTATATATCCAATAAATCAAGTGGATTAGTAGGCTAATTTAATACCAAGCAAAAAGGATGTTATAGTTCGACAATAATCACTTACATATCTACTTGGTTAGCTAATTTTGGCATCATTAAGTAATGTTTATTATATAATCCATAAATGTTTTACAGTCTGTTAGGTATAGTCGGAATGAAATCGTACTATTTGTTAATGTTTATAAACTTAATTAGAGAACAACAATATGCAGACATTCTATTGGCCAATATATATATATATGTTTATCAACTTTAAACCGCACAACATTTTCACTGATTCAGCTGATAAAACAAGAACATTGAAATGTTAAACTAAAATCAATCAGCTAGTTGAATTATCCAATGTCCAATCAGAAAAACGTGCTTATTGCAGTTTATTATTCAACTGTGAAAAATTATGCGCTAAATTTAAAACAAGAAATAGACACATTGGTATTTTCATGTCAGATTTTTCTAGTTTCGTCTAATACTTTTACCGAGTTACACTATACAATAATCAATGTAAGAAATTATTACTTTTTCCCTCCACTCACAACCGACCCGCAGAAAATCAAATTTCAAATGAAAGGGTATGCAAAAGAAAATCGTACTAACTTGTTCAAATCCGACTTAAGCGAATCACAATGACCAAACATGATTGGATCCCACTTAAATATACGACTGACTTTTGATTTTAGAAAATTATACACAAACTGGAGGTGAATGATTAGATTAGGTATTAGTGAGGACGAACCTTGACGTAACATTTTTCATCGAGAAATAGAGAAACGTTGCTGTTACACTTTGACAGTTGGTCAGGACATCCAGAAGAATCCATTTTCCGAACATTTTTACAAAGGGAATCTGCGATACACATATACACTAAAACGCTGTTTTATAGTAGAAAATCAACCCTTGAAAAACCTGATTACGTAAGATTCATTTCAAGAAATGTTCTTCTGAATAGGTTAAATGACGAATAGGGGAATGAGTAGCTCTGATTCCCCTCGATGTAGCCAGTTCAAATTACGGTTCCCTACAAACCTTGACCAATTATGTTCTACTAAAGGACCTTCAGTAGATGGGTGTTTTTCTTCGGTATACCTTTCAATAAAACGTCATTGGGAGAACTCTTTGCTTTATATCAAGAGATATGTCTACAGTATCAGGTTGCCATATCCAAACCTGGTGATCAGTAGGAATTTAGTATATGCATCTACAAATAAAACTTGGACCTGTTTGGTTTTGCAAAAACGAGTTAAATGTTGAGTGGTTGATTTCCTTCAGATTTATCTGTTATTTAACATATATATCCGCTAAGGACTTGTGGTGATAACTGGCAATTAATTGAAAACAGGACAATTTAAGAACACTACCGATAAAATATTTCTTAATAAAAGGCAGACGACTACACATTAAAACGTTGAAAGTGGTATTGCGCACTAAGCAAATGTTCTCACAACTAGTTCAGGTACCGATGAAAAGAAAACAGCTCTTTCAACTATCTGTTTTACTTAAACGTATAAGCAATGGTACAAAGAGACACCAATACATATATACACCACAAACCAATGAATCTGTAGTGCCTCCACTTATATTTGAGTTCGCTTACATTTAACTTGGCTAAGTCTTTCGATTATTTAACCGAGCCATTTGTATAGCAACAACTTATGTGTACCATTGGTTTTTATTATTGTCTGGTTTGTATGAGCTTACACCTACGCGCATATTCATGCCTCTCTCGCCAGTTATGTCTGTTTTACTTTTGTCTGACTATGAATTCTTAGTCATGCTTTATCTCTGGGAGTTGGCTCACGAAGCCTTCTCCATTTCGCTCACTTGCTTTTCCGCGCTCGCACGACGATTTTATTTTTGAGTGCTTGTAGTCTGCTGATACAATTGTGGTGTGCCAAAATAAACGTATTCAACACTTCGAGTTCACCTTCTGATTTATGAACCGTCAGACGCTATTCAGTGATGATTGTCTGGACGAGCTAATTACGAAGCCTAAGAACACGTTCGATACCAATCGTCATTTAACTGGTGATACCTTGCACACACCACATCTGTGACGGCTAGGATACTACTCGGATGCTTTAACGGAAGCAACCAGTCTTCTAAGAGGGTCACTTCCCGAACCCTTGGCCCAGAGGTTTGATCTGCAAGGCAGAGGGGCAACGTTCAGAGATGCAGTCTCATGGTAGCCGGTGAACAACAGTGGGTTCATACGCCATTTACTCCCTCAGAATCCCAGAGCCTATGTGCAACACCAGTTCGGTGTCAGGGTTTTCCAACTCCCCTAGGAGAACCTTCCGTACCCACCAACCCGACTTATGCGCCAAACAAACGCTGTCTGTGCTCTAAACTTCGTAAACAACACCCATGCCATGAGAAGACAGTGAATCTATACGTCTGGCTATTTGAGAGCACTTCGGAAGAACTTTCCTCACTCCCAGATGTACCACGGCGATTGGGAGCCCTACAACCTGAGGCGTTAAATATCAAAAACTATCCTTGTAATTATATTTGTTTAGAGATCGAGATAGCAAATGGGTTTTAGAGTTCTAATCAAAATCAACACAACAATCTGTTGCTTATATGTAATGTCTCTTATCAGCTTGAGACTAATCAATGACTACCTCTAAGTCACTATTTACACTAATGGTAGAAACAGGGCCTAGACTAAGGCATCTTAGTTTAAGATTAGGGGAAGAATGGCAGAAATCTTGTTTGACAGATCAACGTCCTCGAATCTAGCTTCTATTAAGAAGGATTTCTCAATCATAGAATACGTTTCCACAAAATCCTGTAACTACATTCATTATCCTAGTATTTGACCTGGAACTTTCAATATCGGCACAAACTTACTGATACCGAAAAATTACAATTGTACGTAAATAAACTAACTGTTATAGTTAGATAGGATGTCATTTGCCAAGGTTCAACCCTCACTAACCTACAGATTATAAATGGCGATTTTACGGTAACAATGCACGTAAACAAAAAATTAGTTTATAACCATCGATAGAGAACAATAGTTTCGTACAATCGAACTTATGGACAATCACTGTTAACTGAACAATAACGGAATAGAATTACGTAACACCGATTATAAATCTTAACTGGAAGTATTTCGAGGTACCGATGGGATAGAAACGCACTATAAACTCTTAGGTCAACGTTACGCTAATTGTATAAAACAGAAAAACATTCCATCAATTAAACCAATTGTTTTTTCTACACTCGTCAGCTGCGAAAAGCAGATATCAGGAACAAAAGCGATGAGTTACTTATAGCAATTGTTATTGACAAGCATCAACCATGAAAATCCGTAGAATTTTCCTTCGACAATTATGTTGAGCCTTAGTGACGTTTGTTGAAGAAGGATATTTACATACTAATTTTCTTTGAAACCCCTTTACTAGTGTATCGCATGATAAGGACCGTACGTTTGTAGTATCAGACAGGCACACTGACAAGATATGTTCTAACCACCTGGCTAACTAGCCATTTTTAAAATATGGCTAAGAAAATATACATAAAAAGTTCACAAAGCCATGCACTGAAACAACGGATAAACTTCTAATGTACTGATACCCCAATGACGAAAACGTCCGTATGAAATGGTTTGATGCTGCTGAACAAACTACGACTTAAAGAATTAACATTCGCATCCAGACCGAACCCAATGTACATTATTGGAGCAATTCGAATGAGAAATCGATTCAGACCCAAGTACGAAAGTGAATAAGCATCTACCAAAATCCCATATAAGAAAATGAACTTACTGACGTAAAATATCAACTAAAACACCTGAAGTTCACAGTAGTTCTTAAAGAGCGTAATCTCACAAAAAATCGATGTCATTTTTTACGATACAGATGTTTCTGGCTTTGAACTAGTGGGACTAATCGAGTAAAGTGTGATCGAACCCGCAGTTTAGTGGTTGGAAGTTGAACATTCCCACCAGTGAAGTGAAAATACGTACGGATGGTAGGAACACTTGGGAAGTGACTTTTTAAACATTAAATGCAACACTCCACCATAAAAATAGGACTGGAAAGAATATACTGCAGACACTATTTATATATGCTGGACAGCTAATTGTAGAACGAACAAGCCAAATTAAGATAACTACATGGATTAATAAAGCCCTACATTGTACAAACAGCACGACAGAAACGAGACTAACTACTTCTTATATTGAGTCAGATAGTCTTGATGAATAGATACCTACGAAAAAGATGAATAGTGCAACAAATCAGCGACCAACCAATGTTTTGTATTTATAAAGTAAAGTATCAAATGAAAAATAACCATGAGTAAGGAGAGGATCACTCAGAATAATATACGTATGTTGTAAGAAAACGGTGGCAGGTTATGTACAGCTTTGAATTCAGTATAATTATTTCCTTTTCCGCTTGTTTTTCTTTCCTTGAAAATTTTGTTCCGTAGTACCTGTACTGGACGTAGCTGGTCTTCTTGACCGCACCACGGGTAAAGCTTTCCCTAAATAAGTGAGAAGAGACTGACGATTAGGAAATCTGGGGGTCTGGTAAAAGGATTCTAATTACTGTTCATTAACAGGACTCCCGTCATCATTTTTTAAATGGACGCGGACACGCCATTTGTTCATAGGTTCAAAAGCATCCCTTTCTCTAGGATGAACCTGAAAAAACTATAAAACGTGAAAAACAGGCGAGTAACCTTAGTTTCCAAGAGATAGTCGAGAGAGAGTTTCCCCAAAATCATTGTTACTTCAGAATGCTTTGGATTATCAACACAGCACTCCACAGACAATTTTCTTCCTTGAGCCCTTGTACGACGATTGTTTAAATATGCAGGATAAATGCAAACCCATCTTTCTTTAGCAGAATATGGCATATTAGGACTAAATGGGGATAACAAAGGTCTTTCCATGATTACAGCGTCAGTACGACCTTCAGTACGAAAAACCCGCCAATTGAAATGGAAGCGCTTGCGTCGTAAGTATCCTAGGTATCATATTCGGATCTGAGCAAGAAGATCTGCTCTTCTAGCGTGACTAGTTAACAGTTCGACTGACGCTCCTGACAGTAAAAATATGAGTAACACATTTGGACTTTCCATCGGTCATTTAGGTTTGTGTTATAATCAGATCCAAACTATAATATCTTCCAGTATCCGTTAGAAGAATGGACAGAGGAAGCAAAAAATCAGTTATTCAAGTTTGAGGTGTTGGTCAGGGAACAAAGTGTTCTTCAGCGAATATTAGGGTTCTCATGACCTAATTAGTATGTCATTCTATAACTTCGGAGAAAAACCCTTGACTATAGGAATTTTTAATCACTTCTTCGGGATATTAATTGGCAAGTTGTAAACTATTAGTTCTCAATACGCCTCATCACATGTGCAGTTTGGAATATTCACAATGGCGGTCTCTATTATTAACCATTGTTTCGAATGTGCGTTTCTCTGAGAGAGAGAATAAAGGCAAAAATCTGGTTTTCAAAATAAAGATAGCAATAACTTTCTGAACACTGAAAATGGTTTTATTGGGTCAGTAATCACAGGATACGCATATTCCAGCGATTCTGGTTAAAACTGGGCGAAGAATATTATAAACGGAATACCTCAAACCCCCTGCAACGATGAAATGTTCCAACAAGTCAGTGCAGAAATTTTTTTCGCGGATATCTACCATTTGTAATACTATTAAGTAAGAAGAGTTTCGGAATTGTTCTTATCGTTTATTTTACACCATGCAAACCAAAGGGACTCAGGCGTCATCCCTTAGAACACACGAACATTCAATTATCTGTGGCAAACCAAGAAATTTTCACTATCAGTATGATAATAAAATTATTGCCAAAATAATTATAGGAACAATGTGGGATACATAAAATTCACACAGAACAGATCAAGGACGTTGCTTAAACTTTTGGCAGGTTGTGTGTTATTATTTTGCAATTAAAAATTATCGGAAGTAACCAGTGCTGTGAAATACGTCTTGTATGTGTATACATAATGTTCGCCTTGTACAGTCGAATAATGAGATCAATATGATATGGGGATATGGATAACAGTTAAATTACAGATCTGCTCTCTCGGTAGCTGAATAAGTGAGAATGCGGAGTATGGGAGCAGCAGCGAAATTTGTGGGTGGCAGTTCGTAAGGCACTCAAGGTGAGAATGAAACAGTTAGTAACAGTATACAAGTGACTTCTAGCCACTAAAATCTGGCTGATATGAATCCTAGTTTCTTGTTTGCTTCGACCAAACTTCGGCGTTTTGGAGCTCATTTGTCCACTTCTGGTTAATCTTCTCGTTTCCGATCTTGTGTTTGTCGTCTGCGTACACTAATTGGTGAACAAGTAGTGAGTAAAATGGAAAATAGAAACACTGGCTACATATGTTTTTGACAGTAACTTCTAAAATTGAGCAACCATAAAGGTATTTTTTTGAGTGAACACTTGGAGCCCGCAATTTCTGTTAGTAGACTTTTATTTAGTGTAAATGCCCAATTACTTCCAATATGTACGGTCGATAGAATGTCTTACTCTCACATATTGAGTGTAAGAACGGCACCCTTAAAAGATGTCCTAATATTTTCTCACTGATGGAAATTTCCTTCAAGCTAACACCCCTTTCAAGAAACTTCAGTACCTCATCTAACATGTACCCCCTAAACCCCTGTCACCAGCAAAATGCGCAGTTGAACAACTGTTTCTTGACATTTACCCATATCACACCCATGAAGTTATCAGTACTCTTTGTCAGTCATTACTTATGATAATATCCGAGGCATTGACCACCAGTAATAATCCTTATCTAAGTATATTTCTTGAAAACTATGATCTGTTTCCAGGTGATGGGTTACAAGGATGAAGTGGATGATGTCTCACATATTCCAGCTCTAGCCTGAATTGACTCTTAGCGATCTGGTGTAGTAATGAGACCAGACTTCAGTTGAATGTCAACTATTCCTATTCTTTTTAGGAATATATAGAAAGAGGGATGTCCATGGGTTCTCTGATGGCTCGATTAACCCTAAATCTATCATGTGATCAAATTCAGCTCTTGACAAGCCTTAGTTTCCTAGAGGCTAGTCGTTGGACGTTGAGAATACAGGTGGTCCTTTAGTCGTGACTTCCTGTGCAATACTGCTGGTTAAAGTCGATAAATGCAGTCACGTTTGATTATGTTTTGGGTATCTGTCTAGTATAGGTTGAAATGTTGGGTTGATCATGTGTTTAACAGTGACTGAGCCTAACCTACCATCAGAAAACAATAATTTAGTGTTACCTTATACTGCCTTTGTTTGTTTGGGTCAGTTAGTATGTCATGAGGTTGAACGATGTCTACACCGATGATGGGCAGTGAGATGCCTGTCGCAGCGGAGATCCGGTTAAAAGGGTTTGTGTAAACCCACTTTAAGGCAAACGTACATTTTTCCAAATGTAGGGATCGGTTTTCCATTTGCTGACTGCAGGTTGAGTACTAGATCATCTGTGCTATTTTTTGAACTTTCTCCCTCTCTAAGTCACTGGACATTCGTCTTCACGTCAGAGATGTTGAAGTTACGGCTTTTTCCACTGGCAACAGTTTCGCTTACCGCGTACTGGCTGTAGGGTTTCTCGTAATGTTTGCGACGGAAGATTTGGGCTACGGAAACCGTTAGGCTTCCTGAAAATTTCGGAAGTTTGCCTAGAGTGTTTTGGTTGCTTACATACATAACTATGTCTGTTGGTCCTAATGGAGCCAGGGCCGCCGATCAGCATCATGCAGCCTACTCATTCCTGGGCCTTCCTTTCTAGTTCCGTACAACTGTTGTTCATTCTTTTCCTTTAGGTCTCCGATTTTTGGCGTAATTTGTTCTTTATTCTTCCGCTTCCCTTTTGGATTCCAGGGTTCTAAGTGTGGACCAGTTATGTGATATAGTTGGGTGCTTTCGTCAATTTGTGTCTTGTCTACCTAAAGCGTTTTTTCCTAATTTATCCCTCTGCTGGAGTCTAGTGTGTTCTCTCTTACAGTATATTGCAGCTGACGATGTCTGGCCAACGAATGCGAAGTATTTTGCGTTGAAAGCTGGTAATTAACATTTGTGTCTAATGGATACCGGCTTATGCAGTTCTCCAAGTTTCCTGTCCGATGCAATAGAAATGTTTTATTATTTGTATTGAAAATTGCGACTTTGATGTTTGCCGATCACTTTTTTGAGTTTCATACGTTCTTAGATTTTACAATTGTTGCGATCTACTTCCCCAATCTGTGCCTTCAGACCTGCAGCAGATCCACCTTGCTCGTAAATTATGCTGTCCAAATATGTCACGGTTTCTACTTCCCCTATGCTTCTCTGTCAAGTGTGAATCAGATAGTGCATGTTGTGTCGCATAGAAGAATCTTGCATTTGCTTTTGTATACTCTGAAACTCACTTCTGCAGAAGCTGCTGATACACTGGTTGTCCTCTCTTGCGTTTGATGTTACATGTGGTATAGAAGTACTAGATTACGTGCTAAATCTAAAACATCCATTCTGGTTGTCCACTGAATCCTGTGCTTCTCTTTAGATGTTGGCGTTTTTGTAGTCCGGTCAACCACCAGGAGGAAGAGGAAAGGTGAGATTATGCAACTTTGCCTACCCCGATCATTACTTGGAACGATCCTATGTTCTGTCCTACTTGTACAATTTCGCAGTTTATTCAGTCAAGGAATTCCGTATGATGTTGACTGTCTTCTCAGGTATGTCCAATTGTCGAAGAAACCCCCATGAGTATTATAGTACCAATATCAATTCTGGTTGTCTGCTTCTTGTGGTCTAAAAACGGGTCTTCTTCGAGACGGTTTTTGATCGTACGCAATTTTGCTGAAGATTTATTGCACTACAGATGTCCGTATTGTCTCTTCGTGTCAGTGGCAGCGTTTGTTAAAGGGCGCAAACCTCCGAAACGAGAGTTCTGGTGACCTCCAGAATGTGATTAACTGATGTAGCTAGTTCGTCTTTGGCATTATTTTGAAGTGAGACCAGTGCATCTCGCACCTCTTAGGGAACTTTAGACAAAATGAGCCGTCGGAAAAGGCCTTCGTTGAAAGCTCGTTGGTCAGGGACTTCAGCACACGTGGAACTACCTCACCGTGTCCGTGAAGGTTACCCAACTTGGAGTAGAATCGGGCTCACACGTTGTCGATCCAAAACGGTATGAGTTGAAAGTTCGTGGGAACCAGAATTCCTTATCTTAAGAAGCTTAGGTTCGTACTCCGGCATAACAAGAGTAAAATATACATAAATACATGGAGAAAATATGTGAAGCAGAATGTCATATCACGATATGTAAAAATGTATGAATATATTCGTCATTATAACAAGGAACAGACTCACATTATCTCATCTAATGTACAATGCTCACATATAAAAAAGCATACAAAGAAAACTTATGACTTCAAAAATATTCAAGGTCCTGGAAGTGACTGAAAAGTGGTCAATGCTTATTTGCGAGAATTTCTAATGGAAAGAGACATACACCTGTCACATTTATCGTAAGATAAAGAAATATTTTGCTGTATATATATATATATATATATATATAAATAGCAATGAACAAATGTAAAATTAGTGAGTTCTGTTCTTCTTTATAATGCGTAGAAGTCACAGGTTAGCCGTACATGCTGTAAAATAGCTGAAATTATTATTACCATTGGAACCATAGATGAATAATCCATAGAATAGACTGTTGAGAAACTTGTAGCAGTAACCTGAAGTCAAGAGACTAAAGGTCTTTTCGCGTATTTATTTTCATGTATTTGTTGTTGATTTATTATTTTTAAAATACTGTTAAATGCCTTTAGAGTTTTGAGCAACTATGGTATAATTCTCTAACTCTGCCGCTAGTTTCAATTTACATTATGTCACTAAGCTGACCACTTAATATATTTGCGCGAGTATTCAGCAGTTGTTTTCGCTGCGCTGGCTTCTCACTTCGGTACGGTTCCTGGTGTTTTTTAATGTTCAGTGGGTTGTAGTTCAGCCGTTCGACTGAGCTTATTATAGTCAGTTTGGTAATTATTTATTGATTTGTATGTATTGTAATTTGAGTTAAATGCAGCTTCTGGGCCCTAGCCGCTGTCACATTCTAGGGAAATAATGAACTTGAGGTAAATATACAGGGGATATTCTGTACAGAAATCCAAGTAAAGCTGCACTGCATAGTGAAAAGTAGACCTTTCAGCGGCATTCGGAACTCACCTTTAAACAGGGGATCGCATTATTTCCTGAAAACTGGCTAATTGACATTATCAGGCATCTTGTCTTTATGGCTATCATTTTCTGAAGAAAGCCACCCTCGTGTTCCCCCGTATTTCCCTTTTTTGTGGCTTGGTTAGGCATGGTTTAATAGTGTGGTCTTTCACTTAAATATATCACTTGCGTCAAAGTATCTCCGAATACAATCTTGAGTGAATGCCTGAAATTACACCAAACAGTTTAGATTCCACCTAGATTTACTATACGTATTCCACATTCCTCCGAAATATTTTCGATATTCACCACTTTCCGCAGGAAACATGGATTTTTCTAATCGGTTGACCTGCCACCTGAACTAGCGATAGGGAGTGAAGTAGTTAGGCGTGTTGACCATTTCACTTATCTTGGGAGTCTCACCAATCCTGAAAGCCTGGTGTGTGATAAAATCTCAACCTGCGTCACCTATGGCGTAGGCGAAATATCCTTCTGGTAACTGAATGAAGAGTTTACTGTATAGCAGTTCGCTCCGTTCTGCTTTATGGATGTGAAACATGACCACTAAGAATAAAGAATGTTCCTAGGTTACTACTACTCAATCATGTTCTACGTTGTTGTTGTCTGTCTGACCGAAGCGATTAACCTCAGTAGGCGGGATACTTCGTGTTTAATCATACTTTCCTAAAGTATCAATAGTTCTGTGGTGTCAGTCACAATTTCTCGTTGTAAGTGAAAAGTTTGGTCATCATGGTTATCTAAAAAAGATGTTGATTTTAGTAGTTTGATGAGGACAGGTACTAAGGTTTTCTTCGATTATGACTAAAAAATTAGTTTATACAAGAAATATATCTCATCTGCTTGATGTCAGTAGTTAGGTGGTTGGTGTTAGCCGTTTAAAAACAGCATTTATTCCATGATAGTGCACATTTCTTAGTCACTAGCTGTCTTGGTACTAAACGTTAATGCAGAACTTGACGGCTCGAATGCCATCTTTTTTAACTTGTGTATTTGAATCTTTCGAAATAATATGCTTACTTATCGGGGATTTCCACCAGTTTGAGCTGTAAATAGAAAAATTTGCTGTATTGGGTCTGTTACACTCAGATCAACTAAATCATACAGTTAATTGGGTTTTCGCTTGGTCAGGGCTATGCTTATGAATAATAGGGTTTTTGTACTTACCTTTTAAACTTGTAACTTTTGTGAGATCGTAGTATCATCGAAGAAATTTGCTAAAAATGCAATTACACATCCTGTTGGTCCCATCATTATATTTGGTTTACTCATTCTAGTGCGCTTTTGTTTGTTATCCACCTAAACAATTCCTCATTAATCGAGTCAAAAATCTGCTCCAGTTTGAATTTATCCATGCATTACGAAAATAAAATCCTAGTTTTCATAACTTCATCACTAAGATATTTATTACTTTTAGGTCTGGATATTTTGTATATCACAGTATAAATGCCGAAGAGTAAGTTCATTGAAGCAGGTCCAAGAAAACGTAAGCAAAGTTTGAGAAATGATGAACCTATCTCTGAGCATCCTAAACGTGAAGTAAACCACAAACCACACTTGTCAGATGGTTTACGTCACTCAAAACTCAGAAACCGTACTAGCCATGAACGGTCGTTTCTGGCAGATTTTCCTATTGTAAATAAATTCCCAAAGTGGTTTATTCTATCCGCTTTATGCATATCGATCTTAAGTTTTTTGATGATGCTTGCATCCCGTCCACTGATGGTTTGGTATCAGAGGAAACAAGTTATTACTCCTCTTGATCTACCGAAAGCTATACCGGATGCCTCATTGAATGAACGGTCTCACAATTTGTTTTGGGGAAGTTATCGGCCTGGAATTTATTTTGGTATGAAGCATAGAAGCCCTAGACCTCTTTTGTTTGGAGTTATGTGGACAGTTCAAGATCCAAAAATATTTTCCTACCGTCACTCATGTGATCAGTTTGATGGAGTTTTAAGGTAAGCTTTTATTATGTTTGTCTTTTTAATTTTACTTATAGAATTTTCATATCTTAATCATCAAAATTTTATATCATATTTCTGAAGATATCTGGTAGTTTGGTATTTTTGTACAGCATTAGAAATAAAATTAAAGAATCCTAAATTGCTTGCCAGATTGCCGATATCTGTTTAATCTGATTTCAGATGAACAGCAAGTTAGCATTGTGCCAAGAATCTAGAGAAGGTGAAGTACTTATCATCACTCTATTTGTAAAATGGTTCTTCCAAAGTATCAGGTTAAAATAAGTCCATTGTAGGTGTTAGGTTGTATGAATTACCTTCAAAGAATGCTAAAACAATAGATCTGTAAAATGAATGGTGAGGGTTACAGCAGTATGATGGTTTTCGAGTATTGATATATTTGTCCGCCTTGCGTAAGACTGAAACATTAGTATTAGTTGTCTCACCATAGGATTCTACTTCACTAACACCTCATGAATATGTAACAACAGTTGTTTTGCGTACTTGCATTTCAGCCATCAGAATGAATCATATTATGGGTTACAAATCAAACTTAATTATGATTTGATGAACATCGTTTGGTTGCCCAAGTTTAGCTATAAATTCTTGTTGAATGCAGACATGTGACTGTATAGTTGAACATCCACTCATGAAATAAACAATCAGGGTCAAAAAATGTAAAAAAGACAAAAGTGCTTTCGTGACAGTCATAGAGGAATCTGTTTAACTAATATCGTTTCCAAAATTTTGGCCTCAATAATACCTCAACGCCTAACTAGAGCTCGTGAAGAGCAGACTCTGGAAACCAGACTGGTTTCAGACCTGGACATAGCTGTATAGGCCACATTTTCACGCTATAACAGGTTCTGGAACACAGATACACATTTAGGCGTCCTATAATTGTTGTATTCTTGGACCTGAAGGCGGCATCTGACAGTTGATCGTGAAGTTCTGTGGCAGTGTCTCAATAAAAGGTGTACCAAAGAAGTACATCAGCCTTAAACAAGCTCTCTACTCGAACGCCACTGGTCGGGTTAGAGCTTATGGCCAACTGTCATCTGAATCGATTACCTCGAGTGGTGTTTGCCAGGGTAAACCACTTTCTCCATTCTTGTCAAACTTTGTTTTTGACGTGCTTTTAGATACGACACTCATCGTCTGACTTTTTAGGAGTTGAACTTGTACTGAGAGTTGCGCTTGTTGATTTAGAATATGCCGATGACACTTCTATGTGATGTAGAGGCTGACAAAAGGCAGAGTCTTCCGACCACCTTCAGCAACAATGCAAGTATGTTCGAGATGCTATTCCCCCCCCCTTAAAATCAGAAGTGTTGCTTTAGGTTTGGTTTGCGTTGGCTCCTGAACTAGTGATAGGGAATGAAGTAGTCGAGCTTGTAAAACGTTTCACTTATCTCTGGAGTCTCATCAATTCTGACAGCCTGGTGTGTGATAAAATCTCAGCACGGATACAGAAGACTCGACTAGCTTTTGTCAACCTGCGTCACCTATGGCGTAGGCGAGATATCCGTCTTGTAACTGAATGATGAGTTTATTGTATAGCAGTTCGCTCCGTTCTGCTTTATGGATGTGAAACATGACCATTAAGAATATAGGATATTCGTAGGTCACTAGTATTCAATCATAGTTGTCTTCGAAGTATTACTGGTATATCCTGGGACTATTGAGTAAGTAATGCTGTTGTTAGGAAACGGATACTAGGTGAGTATGGATGATCGATAAATGAAGTAGTGAATATTCATCAGTTGAGTTGGTTTTGACATTTGTTACTTATGAATAACCACTGACTTATTTTGATGAGTGATGTTGTCCGATGTAGGGGGAAGTCTGAAGGAAGGCTAGGGGCGGCCAGACCAAAACAAGGCACAAATCGATGAAGCCACTGACAACTGGACTGAGTCATGTAAGTAGATGTAGACAATGGTAACCGATGGTTATAGACCTTGAATGACGTGGCTGAAAATCGTTTGCAGTAGCGCGAGTAAATTCATTCTTTGTCTTTTCTTAAATTCCAATCTTCTGAATTCCTCGTAACCTGCATGTTTCTGTTTTTAAGCTTATTTCACTGGATTCTACTTCTTGAATAAAATTTTCGAACCATATTCTCTCCGAATACTGCTAATACTTCTACTACATTGTCCAGTGTGGGATTTGAATAGACAATTCCATCTTTCTGTGCTAATGTGGTATGGCAGCTTGAGTTGATAAATGTGCGTACCACGTTCTACCTTGTTGCTGACTGACTTATATTTAGCGAAAAGATGTTTTCCTATTCGTAAATCTAGTGATATTTAGTCTACCTGCATTTAAATTTCTTTTAGAAGATTGTTAATCGGTCAAGGTGACTAATGGACTTTATTTCCAATTAGGTTCAAATATTTGAGTTTTATCTCTAAACGTCAAAACAAAAAATGTGTGACTTAAAGCATAGTTCATGGCTTTGCATTTGGTTATTGAAGCACATTAATTGAAAGGTAGTGAAGTTAACTGCTGATATATTTTCAGCGACTACAACTTGATTTTCATATCTTTTTTCACTTTCTTTCGTAGCTACAACTGGTTGGAGCATGATGGTCTTACTTTTGGAACACAACAAATAGTAGATATTTATCATGTTATCACGATATCTTTTATTAAACCATCTTCTGACTTTACGGAGAGTGACTGGACAGTAAGAATTTCGGCATCTGCGCGAAATCATGTGAGTTTTTAGTATGCTAAATCTAATGTCTGGTAAAATATGTTTCCACCATTTAGTTAACTTGCATTTTGTCTAGCAGCTAATCTTCTCTAGATTGTTTAAAGCGGATATGTGTAGCATTTATTGATATTCGATTGTACCAAGCTTTATCTATTATTAATAAATAGTTACCGAACACGTTTATAGGTGGCTTAAATAATGTCGTAATTATTCACCATAAGTGATAATATGTGTAAAAGTGAAGGCACTTAAAGCTAGAAAATTAAATTATTATCCTTTATGATTAGTTTTAAAGTACCGATTGGTGTAAAAAAAATTACGGTGACAGTTTTAGTTCGTCTTATGGATGAAATCACTAGTCACTGATTTCACATTAAATTATGTAGTACTTAAAAAAATTTAAACTGCCTGAGTAAAACTCCGACATCAGGAATAAGTTATTAGGAATTATTATTAAAGTCATGGAAAATTATCTTGTAAAAGCAAAGTCATTACGACAAAACAAGATTGATAGCCATCTTTTTAGATCTATAAATTTAGTTTCAATCTTTTCATTTCAATGGGTTCAACAAAGTCTGATAAATTCGAAGTTCTGTGTATGTTAATTATTTTAGTTTGAAAGCATCTTCTCTACTGTTGAGCGAATAACGGTTTTAAGTAACATAAGGTGAAACTTTGTACACAATGAACTTTCAATCGACATTTCGTTTCGTATGGAGACAAACTTGGCTACCATATACGTCCATTTTAACCACTAGTCGATTTGTCAAGCTATTTAATCTTTCTCAAAGTCAGGTTTCATAAAGATTGGGTTTTTCTCAACTATCGCATATTCCATTTCCTTTGTTCGAGTCGTTCCATTTTTGTAGAAAACCGTTTGCACGTAGGTAGTGTTCAGCCATAGGTAATTTTTCCTTAATTTTATCCTTGGAACAATTGAATAGAGTACCAACTAAAGCTTTTTCATAGCTTATTGGATAGAAGCTATGGAATTCTTAGTATAGTGCGCCCCACATTATCTTTCGTTCGATCAATAAATCTTTGCAACTGGAGATTTATATTATATATTACTTTTAGTACCAAGATCTATAAAATGAAATATGTTATCATATTTATATTCGATTGTAAATCTAATGTTAGGGTCTACTCTTGAGAAGTTTCAACATAATGATTACATACAACTACTGTGTCATATACCTGACCCCAATTATAACTTCTGGTATCCTATTCCTTACTTTTAAGTTTTATCCAGGTAGTTTATATTTTCTAAACACTACATAATCTTCAATGTCAAAGAATAATTTGCTTCTATGCTTTTCTCATTTTTCTCTTCCACAATACTTCTTTATTTAATTCGTAAGTAGGCACACATTCGATCCATTTTCGTTTCCTCCACAATTATTGTCTCTTACTATTCTCTATATCTACACGTCAAACTCAGTTCCATGCAATATCTCTCTAAGATATAAGGTATCCGTACTTGTTTTGTTTTTAATGAATGAATGATATTATTGTTTCTAAGTCGTAAACTGCAAATAGGAATCCATGAAATAAATTAATTCATGTTATTATGTTACAATCTTTGTTCTTCCTTTGTTCAAATTTATCAATCCAAAGTTCTAAACATCTCTTTAAAACGCTGATCATTCATTTAAGATCCATAATCTGGATAGTAAATATAAAAGACACGTGTAGGGTTGTTTGCAAAATCAGTATTTGGACTTATTAATTATGAGTAAAGTCAAAAGCCCATGTTTTTGAGTAAAATCGCTAGACGGCTTCTATTTCTAAACAATAATGGAATTCAGTATAAAGCTATGGTAGAAAAAAGTCTAGTATTAACTTCAATTTAATGGAAATGTAATCCTACTTTTTGTGTGTTATATGAATTTTAAGTGTTGATGATACTTCGGATTAAGTCGATTTTGTCAATATGAAGCTTCTTTGCCTCCAATATCAAATGTTCAAAACTAAATTCAGACTACTAAAAAGTTTCCCGAAAAACAGTAGACCTTGTAAATCACCACAACTTCTTCTTACTGTTGCTATCTTAAATACATACACGTACTGATCAATGATATTTATGTATTATGTCACTCATTATGAAGTTAAAATTATTAATTAAGTCACAGAATATTGGTTTAGTGAGTACTTCAAAATATTTTATCATTGAAATCATTTCAAATATATGCATTACGTAGCCTTTTAACCCGCGTATGGATCTTGGCAACAATTAGAAAGGGGAGCTCAGGATAGAGTAGGTCGATGAGATTCCTGGTTGGAGACCTATACTCCATGAAGGGTAACCAGCGTAAGTAATTGATTAATTGATGGATCTTATTTGTCAATACTAGTAAGTTCATGTTATTTAATTAAATGTTTTTTCTACTTTAATTGTACAGACTTCTATGAAATATCCGTTATCGGTAGTTGTCTACTTTTATTACCCTGACGAAGAAAACAACTTCTTCATGGAACCAGTAATTTCTGGTAAAAAGATCATTGGATTACAAGGTTAGTTTACTTACTATTCGTTTCAGAATAGTGGAATCTGAGATCCCCTAAATAGTAATTTTTTGAAATTCCACGCTGATCATAATAAAGTATCTGAGATATTTAAGACGATCTCTATAAAACAACTCATGTCACATAATATGATAAACTAGGGTCTATAACATTGGCTCTGAACATCTTGAGACATAATTCGTACAGTTCAAGCAGAAACTATTGTTTTGCGGTTGATCTGTGACCGACCGTAGCTTCTACCTTGACGTGGTGGTCGGGCTTGCCTATTGTGATGACCCAACGTAGCTATATTGGCTGAAACAACCTTCCACGGTGTGGGCAGCCGGGAAGTGACAACCGCCCTCATACCCGTACCAGCACACGAGACCGAATTGGTCACAATCCAATCACTGGATTATACTTCTTGAATAAAATTTTCGAACCATATTCTCTCCGAATACTGCTAATACTTCTACTACATTGGCCACTATGGAATTTGAATAGACAATTCCATCTTTCTGTGCTAATGTGGTATGGCAACTTGAACTGTTGCAGCTGACCGACTGGTCTATGTTACTGTGTAAATATTTTTAGACTTGTCGAACACCTTACTTCGAATAACTATAGTATTAGTTCTCGAGCTGTTATTATTCAAAATGCATTGCTGTTGTCGGAGATTCTATCACAATTCACGTTATTTTTTGATATAGGTAAATAATTATTCAGGCCTGATGTAAGTGTTCATACAACAAAATACTTTTTTTAGGTAAAACAGTTCTGAAAAATGCATAATCAACATGTTAATATCATTTGGTAGTAAACACGATGTTTTAAACCTAGTATGTATATATAAACCCTGATTTTTATTACTTTCTTAGGTAGTTCAATGGAGTTAGGTGATTATTTTGCTTTACTTCATCCTACTTCTCGTAAATTACAAGAGAGTTCTCTGATAGCTTATGTACCTAGAGAAGATGCAATTCAACAGACAATGTTTACTGGTTTAGGAATCAGAAAAGATAGAAATTTCTTAACATTAACAGACTTTGCTAAGAATCATGATCGAAATCAACCTTCAAATGCATGGTTTTATGAAATAACTACAAATCCCAATGAAAATCATCAAACGATTCTGGAAGTTGAATTTCTTCATCCACAAAGTTCATTTGGGCGCATGCATGGAAATAATTTCTCTGAAGAGTTATCTAGACTATCGAAAAGTTTTCATCAACGTTTTGTTGAGAGATTCAGTGTGGACTTGACGAAATTTTCCGATAGACAGGTTTGTACATTTTAGCTAGTTGGCTACATCATTTTCATACTTTATGAATATGTTTTAACTGAAACTCATGAAAAGTCCAAGATTTACAAATAACGATTCCAATAGTTATAGTTTATTGGTATGGTCAACAATTAAAACCACTTTTTGTAATCATAAATTTATGAAGTCTGATTTCAAATTTTGATTTTCTGAAATATAGAATTATATACGCTGTAAAAATTAACCAGAAGAGGGTTTTATAAGGCATATTTAGAATCAGCAATCATAATATCTGAATATTGGTTAGGAGAAAGCTAGGGTCGGATACAGAAAGCTCGATTGGCTTTTGCCAACCTGCGTCACTTATGGCGAAGGCGAGATATCCGTTGGCTGACTAAAGGACGAGTTTGCCGCGCAGTAGTTCGCTCCGTCCTACTTTATAGCTGTGAAACATGGCCGGTAAGAGTAGAGGATATTCATAGGTTATTCGTTTTCGATCATAGGTGTCTCCTAAGCATTCCTCGTATATCCTGGTACAACCGAGTAAGCAATGGTGTCGTTATTTTATTGTCAACTGAATTCAATTTTTTTATTAGTTTATAAAATATTAATGACCTTTTTTATCCTTGATACCCTTAATTTTCGGAAGAATGCTTCAAAATTAACAGCATTGCTAGCATAGTAAAATTGCCAGCTTATATTCTATTCAGAATATCTTCTGTACAGCTACATAAACGATCAAGATTAAGCTAGTTGTAATGTTAATACTAAGAAAGTAATTTCACTCTTAAAGTGAATAGTGCACGCAGGTATTTATTTCATATTCTTCAATCAAGGTACTAGTGTAAGCACTGGTTGGAGCGTCTGCACTTTGTTTTTAATGATAAACTCACTGATTAGTCAACATTTTAGTGGCTATATCACAACACTGTTTATTATGTGTTACATAAGATTGTTATTTTACTGAATCTTGTCATTGAGTTTTGCCGTATAATCGTTCTTTACTGCAATCAATATATACATCGGAATAAATATTTCGTGTCTCTACTTTTAAATTTAATTAGGCCAACTTATCTAAAATTGCTGTGAGCAATTTACTTGGTGGTATTGGTTACTTTTACGGCACATCGTTAGTTCGTTCAGCTAATATTGGACCAGAACCTGTATCTAATTGGCCATCTGGTTTATTTACTGCCACACCATCTCGCCCCACCTTTCCACGTGGATTTTTATGGGATGAAGGATTTCATGGTTTGATATTAGCACGGTGGGATCCGAATCTCGCAATGGAAACAGTCGGTTCATGGCTCGATCTAATGAATGTTCATGGTTGGATTCCACGTGAACAGATCTTAGGTTGGGAGGCCAGATCAAAGGTTCCATCCGAATTTGTTGTTCAGTCCTCTGATGTTGCCAATCCACCATCTTTGATTTTAACTGTTGAGGTATGTTACTAAGTTTTCGAATTTTTCAGTAGACCTATGAACGTATTTTCATTTGTATTGTGGTGTATTTTATTGCGTATAATTTGCATCACCGATAGTTAAAGCTAATGTGCAGTTTTCATAGTTTTAGAAAGTTACGTTGTTCAGAGTAAAATTCACTTTGATGATTGATAGTAAGTTATCGTTAAGTGGTTGTTATCTAATTGGTTGTTCAGTCACTTGATGTTATGTAATAAGGCATTTCTTATCCATCTTTTTACATGAATGTAATAGTCATAGTGTATGTGAGAAAATATGGGGTCGATGGGGATTTAAAGTTTCACTCTGTTATATTCGTATTTAATACTAAGGCCACCTGAAGATTACTTAGAAAGACGACAAACACTATTGGGGCCCGTCAAACCACTTGGAATATCATCTTTTGTCTTCACAATGATCGCAGTTATTAATTTTGTTTTTTAGGAAGTAGATTTTTTGAAGTGTCTTCCGTAAGTATGCTGATATGAAACACAAATTCACAAACTTCACACGGACAACTAATCTCATATTTACTCAATTATTTAAATAAATGCGAAACATATTTCTTTACACTTAGGTAGAATGCATTTTCTGACAAAGCTTACTGGTATGGTGTTTGGAGATGTAGTCTACACTTATCAGCATGTTCGATAACCGTATATCTCACCCTTGTTTAACTGTTTGTATATCATAATTGTCCTACACCTTCGGTATACCAGTCCCAACTCATTGATGATTTCGTTTGACCAGGACGTTGAATTTCGGCCAAGTTGTGGTTGCGGAGGAATATGACATTCAAACAGTCGGGATGTGCTGCATAACCTTCATCGGCCAACGGCTGTATGCTTAATAGTCTCTGTACTTGTTTTCAGTAATGATTACTCTATATAACGTTGAAAAGCGACATGTTGAGTTAGTTTATTTTGAATATATACTTTCAACCAGTTAGTCCAAACCTCGTAAGACTTTTTTTGGAATATCGTATTTATTTATTTACGTTGTTCTAGTCATGTGCAGAATTACTAAAATGTTTTACAACATTAGTTTTTAGCATCTTGATTAACGTTACATGTACTATTTATTATTGATTTGTTTCTAGTTTCTTTGTTACTAACTGAGATTTTTTTATCACCATATATTGTTTTGTACTACTTATGCAGGCTTTGTTAGATCGTTTACCTCGATTAACTGTTGCTGAGGCTAACGAATTTCGTCGTTGGTCTATGGTAGTTCTTCCAAGGTTGCATGTTTGGTATCAATGGTTCAATACTACTCAGTTTGGTCCTGTCCCTCTGTCATATCGTTGGCGTGGTCGCAATCCTGATGAAATTCATCAGCTAAACCCTTTAACTTTAAGTTCAGGTAGATGCTTGATAATATCACTTTGATCCCGTCTTAGATAATAATTTTTTTTTGTGAGAATTTCTTAGCAAGTTGCAATTATGCAGCATTTTTATCACTGTAATTTATTAAACATATTAATCAAATTGACATAATTAATGCCCAAATTAACATTCCTTAAATAGGATACAAATATTTTGTGGAATCATTCTTGTGCGTAATTAATGGAGTCATCATGAGTAGTACTCAATTTCGTTTTTATTATTAGTGAAGTAGTTTCACGAAGTAGGTCGCTGGTTTTCGATGATAGGTGTGTCCGAAGCATTTCTCGTGTATCCTGGGACAATCGAGTAAGCAATGCTGTCGTTAGGACACGGATCTTAGGTAAGGGTGGCAGATCAGTAGCTTCATCAGTTGAGGTGGTTGGGGCATGTGTTGCGTATGTCTGACCACAGACTGCTTCGTCGAGCTATGTTTTTCCATGCAGGAATAGGTTGGAAGAAGGCTAGTGACGGCCAAATCAAAACGTGGCAGAAATCTATGAATTCACTGACAAGTGGACTGAATCATGTTGGTAGGTGTCGACTACCTGGTCAGGGCCCGCGAGATGATAATAATCGATGGTTAGAGACCCTGAATGATTTGGCTCAAAACCGTTCGCAATGGCACAGCTGCATTCATTCTTTGTTTTCTCTCAAATCCTAACCTTCAGAGTTCCTCATCACATTTATCTTTTTATTCTTAAGTTTGTGTAACCAGATTCTACTTCTTGAATAATATCTTCGAACCCCGATCTCTCTGATTACTACTAACACTTCTACTAACTCTACTAGTATGGCATTTGAAGTGACAATTGCATCTCTGTGCTAATGTGGTATGGCAACATGAACTGATGTATCTACGTACGAAGTTCTATGTTGTTGTTCTCATAAAACAGTGGAAGAACTTTTTTAAACTAGTGCATTTTCAAAGTTGGTGGTATTTTAAATAATTTTTACCAAGCTTCAGAAATTGTACCCATTTTTTGGTTTATAATAAACTCAGTACAAGTAGACGAAGCATATATATATATATATATATATATATATATATATATATATATATATATATATATAATTTCTGAAGCTTGGTAAAAATTATTTAAAATACCACCAACTCTATGTTGTGCATAATGGTTTAAATCTAGTATGTCATATTTTGTAAGCATTTGTGTCACACCGAGACTTGATGGTGTTCCTTATTATTTAATGACAATAATAAAATTTATACACGATGTACATTTGTGTGTTCTTGATTTTGAATCACAGTTTTCTAAGTTAGTTGATTGTATAGTTAGTTACATAACTACCGAACTCGCTGCGTTACATGCTAACTACTCAAAATATTTTATATGATAATGTGTTTACTTTCACCAAATTGTAGAAACAGTTTTTAGTTGTTTTGTCCAGTTACCACTTCATTCACCACAAGGTGTTATCAGAAATATTGATAATGTATACTTAGTCTCTACTGTCATACTGTTTTGTTTTCTGTCTCAAGGATTAGATGATTTTCCTCGTGCTTCACATCCAACTGATGACGAACGTCACATTGATTTACGTTGTTGGATGACTTTGTTTGCTCGTGTAATGTCAAGGTTGGCTTCTGTTGTTACACAGTTCATGCAAACAGATCAAAGTAGTCAATCAAAGTTAGAAGAGACTCGTTCATTGATTACACAATATACCCGTTGGGCAGATATCTTATCTGATCAAAGTGAGCTGGATAGACTTCATTGGTCAGAAAAGCATGGCCGCTATGCGGATTATGGTCTGCATACAGACTTTGTTAAACTGGAGATGCCTGATATACCTGTGGGATCACAACGTGTTTCTAATGAGGTAATGATTTTATATCTTGGTATCCCACTTTTGTATCGATTTAAAATACTCTTTGCTTATTTACGATGCAATTTTTACGGTTATCGTAGTCCTTATTTGTAATTCTTTGACATTTCGAGAAAGGATGTGTATTTCATATATTTTATGCGTTTACTCGGAAGAATTTGATCCACTAGTTGATTAGTGATTATGTTATTAATTTTCAATCGGTAAATAAACTTTGAACTCCAAAAGCTTAGTCACTAGAAACTACTAGATGGAACCAAACACTATCTATCAAAGTTTTAATTTCACTCTTATCGTTGTTATGTAAGAAAACTTGTTCAAATCTAATTGAACTACTCTAGTTTGGATGACTAAGGGATTTTTTCTTCAGTTTAATATATTAGAAATAATTAGTCTTATTCACACTTAATGTTATGTGGCGATAGTGTGGTGTAAGGTATAGGGACTTATATTAATAGTTTGATGAGATCTTGTCCAATAGTGTCGTGATGTCATTTTACCACTTTTCGTGTTAGGAAGTGTCAGTGAAAATGACTATTGTCATTAAAGTAAATCATATTACATATTTTATGATTGTTACTTTGGTTTCACAATGACTTTTTGTTATAGCAAATGAAATTGGTACGAGTAACTGCAGAACCGCCATCACTGCAGTTAGTTGACACTTCATTTGGATACGTAAATTTATTCCCACTTCTATTAAAAGTCCTTTCGCCTACATCACCACGACTTCCTCGTTTGTTAGCTGACCTGGGTAATAAAGATCTGCTGTGGTCTGAATTTGGATTACGTTCAATCAATCTGAAGTCTCCTTTCTATCAAACACACAATACCAAGGATGATCCACCCTACTGGCGGGGTGCTATATGGATAAATATAAATTATTTAGCCGTACAGTCACTACGTTTCTACTCTAATCATCCACGTACACCTGCACCTGTCGCTACAGAAGCTAAAAGGCTGGCCGAACAACTTACACAAAATTTAGCACGTACCGTACTAGGTGAACTTGAACGAACAGGTTACTTATGGGAACAGTATAATGATCAAACTGGAAATGGTCAACGTGGTCATCCATTCTCAGGATGGACGAGTTTAATTAGTTTAATAATCAGTGATAATTCTTAACTTTTTTGTATGTTATTTTTATCATTTTTGTACGGTGACTTAATGTTGTACATCTTTTTTTTTGTACGTATTTTACTTTTATGTTGTTATTCTTTTGATCTGATGAATAAATAAAGTATTTGAATGGATACTGAGTAGTTCGTTAAATAAAAATCTCAGCCTCTAGAATCATTCTTCCAGGTCATAAGGATCACTTTTTCTCGTAATAGATGATTGTAACCCCCAAATAGTTATAGGAATTGCAGCTGAGAAACACTTAAAGGGATGTTTTAATATTTCAGCCTAGTAAGGAGGTAATTATTAGCGCTTGTTCTAAGAGTGATCAGACAACTGCTTAACCATCATGGCCGGTACCAACTTTAATATATATCTTGGCTACCTCCAGTTTCAGGGTAGTTTGTGGATAGGAACAGACCATATGCCCATTATTCATCGTTGGAGAGGTATTAAAGCAGTGATACATGTCATTGATTCGGATGGATCAAAAGGTTGATAAATATTGGTAAATTCCGGAAACTTCTATCGAATGGTTGACTGTTTGGGAATTCATTCTGTTTCCGAATATATTCGGAAAATGACTACGATTGGTGATGACCTAAACATAGACTAATAAAGATGTTATGGAATGGTCGTGATTAGTGGTAGCCAAAGAAAGCAAAACAGTTGGAAAAGACAGAAGCAATAGATAGCAGCACTAGGCGAGTGTTCCGGTATATTGATATTAGCTAAAATATTTTGATAAAGGACGAAACTATTATGCTTTTAGTCCAGGAGATTAGATCAGTAGGTAGAACACTAGGGAACAGTTCAACTGGTCTCCAATTACTCACTATTTCCCAAAAACCTGATTATGAAATCGACATAATTCTTCCAACTCGACAAGATCGAAATGGTAAGATCCATCACCAAATAGTGAGAATTATCAGGATAAATTAACTCGAAAATCATTTAACCTATTTGTCCAGTTTTAGCAGCTAGGTTGATTACAATACTAGAGTTTGAGTGTTTATCGTAATCCCATTTGATTAGGCATGTGATAGGTGGCTAACCCAGTTTATGAAAAAAAAAATAACTGAAATGGTTTCATAACAATCACAGCTTAATCGATTAGTGTCCAGGAAATAAACTATGGAAAACAATATTTAATTCAGACTTCGATTTGGATGTTTCATATATTCACGCTTATAGGTTCCAGGACATCCGACTGTAGTTAAATCTCTTGATCTCAAGGCGGTATGCGATCCTGTTGATCTGATCTGAATCAATACGTTCTGCATCCGTGTAACAGCCTCTTAAGGTAAAGGACTCTTGAACTAGTGGCAAATATCTTTGAACCAATCCCCGGGTATGATGGGCCCATGCAAGTGAGCTGTGGTGTGGAGTAAATACTCATCGACTGAAGTGGCTGGGACTTATATTACTTACACCCAACCCGAATGTTGGGTAACGTGGGAACAAGTCGGAAAAAGATGACATCCTACGAAATCTATGTCTGACTGAACGGCGTCAGTAAGTGCAGATTATTTGCTTGAGTCCGCAGTATAACCGTAGTTAGTGATTAAAGACGGATGACGGCCAAGATTCCGTTACATTTACCAAAATACGTTCCTTGGATCTTGTTTCAACATCCTTTTCTTTTGAGTCGTATTCTTTACCGTCCAGTTTATATCAGTATCATTATTACTATTGGCTTGATCCCTTCACCATTTTAGTAATTTCATCTCGTCGGTATAACGATTCACACTAACAGACATTTGTGTTCGATACATAAAACTAATGAGTACATTGACAGGAAACAACTTCATTTAAAGCTTCTGAAAATATGCTTATTTTGAGGGCTCAGTTAACTGATGAAATATTAGAGCGACTGGAGTATTCAAACAGCTGATCTGCTACCCAAATGAAGATTCAAAGCACAACAAATAGTTACCGTTAGAGAAGAATCTTTAGTCAAGTGACTCGATGTATGTTTAGAAATTAAATGTCGATCGCAACAGAAAGAGCACACAGGTAACAATTAAACAGGAAAACGAAGCTACTAATTATCTTACATTTTATTTATTTTGTCGACGTTATTTGCTATTTTTTATTGTGATAAAGATAGCTCCGCCAGGAGAACCTTAGGTGCTACTGCCGGTCCCAAGCCCGGATAAAGGAGGAGGTTTGGACATGGGGTTGGCGACCCCATTCCGTCAAAAACTAACTTGCCAAAAAAACGCTAACCAGAAAAAATAATTCAAACCATTTTAACTCTGCCCTGGGAGTTGGAAGAAGAATTATGACGTCGCGTGATGAAAGCCGAGTTCCCTCGGAAGTCACGGGGCCGATGCCTCTTCTCACAACCAGAGCAACCATTTTTTTAGGTACATGGAAAGTTCGTACATTGTGAGAGACTAGAAAACTATTTCAAGTTGCGGCAGAAATGAAAAGATACAACCTCGAGGTGCTCGGCATTGGACACAGGTAGGACAACTGAGACTAGCTTCAGGGGAACTGCTGTTATACTCTGGTCATGAAGAGGAAGATGCTTCACATACACAAGGAGTTGCATTGATGCTGTCCAAACATGCACAAAAGGCACTGATAGGATGGGAATCTCATGGACCGAGGATCATCAAAGCATCCTTCAAAACAAAGAAAGAGGACATTACAATGAACGTCATCCAATGTTATGCACCTACCAATGACTACAATGACGACGTTAAAGATCAATTCTACGAAAGGCTGCAGTCAATCGTCGATAAATGTTCACCAAATGATTTGACGATTCTTATGGGAGACCTGAATGCCAAGGTTGGAATGGACAACACTGGATATGAAGACATCATGGGACGACATGGACTGGGAGAAAGAAACGAAAATGGTGAGAGAATTGCAAACCTATGTGCCTTCAACAAACTGGTCATCGGTGGCACAATATTCCCGCACAAACGCATACACAAAGCTACATGGATTTCACCGGATCACACTACTCAAAACCAGATTGATCATATCTGTATCAACAAAACGTTCAGAAGGACTATGGAGGATGTGAGAACCAGGATAGGAGCTGATATAGCCTCAGATCACCATTTGCTAATCGCCAAAATGAAACTGAAACTAAAGAAGCACTGGACAACGGGACAGACAACATCACACAAGTTTAATACGGCCTTTCTTCGGGATACTGTAAAGCTCAACGAATTCAGGATAGCCCTCACCAATAGGTTCCAGGCCTTTCAGGATCTACCCAATGGAGAGGAAGCAACATTGGAGAACAATTGGAAAGGGATCAAGGAGGCAATCAGTTCTGGGTCGCAGGAAGTACCATCACAAGGTATGGATCTCTGTTGATACTCTTGCAAAAATTGAAGAAAGGAGGAACAGAAAGGCAGCAATCAATGTCAGCCGAACAAGAGCAGAGAAAGTTAAGGCACAAGCTGAGTACATGGAAGCAAACAGGGAAGTGAAGAAGAGCATCAGAGCTGACAAACGAAAATATGTGGAAGATCTAGCAATGACGGCGGAAAAGGCTGCAAGAGAAGTAAACATGAGACAATTGTACGAAACAACAAAGAAGCTCGCCGGAAACTATCGTAAACCAGTACAACCAGTGAAAAGCAAGGAGGGCAAAGTAATCAGCAACACTGAAGAACAGCGAAATGGGTGGGTAGAGCACTTTCAAGAACTCCTGAATCGACCAGCTCCACTGAACCCACCCAACATCGAAGCAGCATCCACGGACCACCCAATTAATATTGGCGCACCTACGATTGAGGAGATCAGTATGGCCATCAGACAAATCAAGAGTGGCAAATCAGCAGGACTAGACAACATTCCATTAGAGGCAATGAAAGCGGATGTAGAAGCAACTGCGAAAATATTTTACATCCTCTTCAAGAAGATTTGGGATGAGGAAGAAGTACCATCAGATTGGAAAGAAGGATACCTCATCAAAATACCAAAGAAAGTCGATCTCAGCAAGTGTGAGAACTACAGAGGCATCACTCTTCTTTCAATACCAGGCAGTCGTCAACAGGGTATTGTTAAACAGAATGAAGGACTTCGTAGACGCCCAACTTCGAGATCAACAGGCCGGATTTCGTAAGGATCGATCATGTACTGACCAAATTGCTACATTACGGATCATTGTAGAACAATCAATTGAATGTAACTCACCACTCTACATCAACTTCATCGACTACAAGAAAGCATTCGATAGCGTGGATACGAAAAAACTATGGAGGCTTCTTTGACACTACGGTGTGCCTGAGAAAATAGTTAACATCATACGGAACGCTTATGATGGATTCAACTGCAAAATCGTGCACGGAGGTCAGCTGACAGACTCTTTTGAGGTGAAGACCGGTGTCAGGCAAGGTTGCTTACTCTCACCCTTTCTCTTTCTCCTGGTCATCGATTGGATTATGAAGACGTCGGCATCTGGAGGGAAGCACGGTATCAACTGGACAGGTAGGACGCAGCTGGACGATCTGGACTTCGCAGATGACCTGGCTCTTCTATCTCACACGCAACAACAAATGCAAGAGAAGACGACCAGTGTAGCAGCAGCCTCAACAGCAGTAGATCTCAACATACATAAAGGAAAAAGCAAAATTCTCCGATGCAACACAACATGTACCAACCGAATCACTCTTGATGGAGATGCCTAGGAGGACGTTAACACCTTTACATATCTGGGCAGCATCATCGACGAGAAAGGTGGATCGGATGCAGATGTGAGGGCACGGATTGGCAAAGCGAGGGCTGCATTTCTACAGTTGAAAAATATCTGGAACTCCAAACAACTTTCAACCAAAACCAAAATCAGGATTTTCAATACAAATGTCAAGACAGTTCTGCTGTATGGAGCGGAAGCTTGTAGAACTACGAAAGGCACCATCCAGAAGGTACAAGTATTTATGAACAGTTGTTTACGCAAAATACTTCGGATTCGTTGGCCAGACACCATCAGCAACAATGTGCTGTGGGAGAGAACAAACCAGATTCCAGTGGAGGAGGAAATCAGGAAGAAGCGGTGGAAGTAGATAGGACACACACCACGAAAAGCACCTAACTGCGTCACGAGACAAGCCCTCACATGGAACCCTCAAGGCAAAGGGAAAAGAGGCAGGCCAAGGAACACACTACGCCGAGAAATAGAGAAAGATATGAGAGGAATGAACAAACATTGGACAGAACTGGAGAGGGAAGCCTAGGACAGAGTTGGTTGGAGAAAACTGGTGGACTGCCTTTGCTCCATTGGGGGTAACAGGCGTAAGTAAATAAGTAAGTAAGTATTGTGATAAAGATGGATTTTTGAAATACAGTCAAAGCAAGTATACGACATAATTTGTTGACTAAATTCAAAATATTAAAACTTATTCTGTTGAACGAGCAAGTCTTACAATACTGCATGTAAGATCTGTTATGTTTCAGCACTGTGCTTCGTTTGGTTTAGATGGGTGTGATAGAAGAGAGATCACAAGTCTAAATTTAGTGCAAGTTATAAATACTTTAGGTGTAGAGTGTGAACATTGTTCACATCAGTTGCTGATGTGTATCAGCTGAAATGAAAATGTACTTTGAGCTGTACCTAAACACTTCCTTAAATGCTGGAGAGAAATAACTCTGAACTCATGTTAAGAATAATAAGTTACTGTGATATTATACTGTAGTTGGATAATGAGAACTTGTGTTACAATTTTCGAACCGTACAAAACGATTGCGATTGAGATTTTTGATGTCGGGAAAGTTACTGCACTGGATGAAAATGTTAAAAATGGAAACAAAATTATAAAATAGGAAGGAAAAAGTAAGTTTTGTGAGTATGTAGTTCTTGTATCTTTATAGATCCTTGAGTAATGATGTTAAATGGTGATATGAATGAATACTTTTATTGGATATTTTCTAATTTCAAATGTAAGGAACTGACATAGCTTAAGAAATTTCATTAATCATTTAAAAAACAATACATACTCTGTTAATCCTTTCACTTTGTATTATCATTCATTCACTTATATGTGTATGAGGTTATCAATTTTTGAAACTTCATCAAACTACCGTTTCGTATAGTTTTCTGTAATGGCATCAATAATCACAACAGAAATATAATTTGACGCAAATAGTTAGTGATAATGATGCATTCATAAATTCTAAAATATTTATAGACTAAAACATAAGTGTAATAATATGTAAGAATGTCAGCAACCTTATGACCCTTGACATATTCGGTCAATCGCATAATTCACAGCAGTTTTACGTATATATCTACATGTAATTTTTGGTTCTTATAACTCTACTTAGACGTTATATAATTGGATTGGAATATATATGGAGCAATTAAGCTTAGAAAATGGGTGTTTTGGATAAACAGAAGTATATTTAGTAGAACGTATATTTCTATGATCTTATTGTATTCTTCGGTTATCTGATTATTAATCCAATAGTGCACAATAAATGAACGCCATTTCAACGCACTTCTTTTCACTTCACTCATTGGGTTAGACTGTGTCCGTCTACGTTGCATAGTTGTTTTGAAACACTGATACTTCGTGGAGATGTATCACCACTACATTCTATTTGGTATGTACATTATATTCTTTGTATACATATTGATTAAACAGTAGTTACTTTTAGATTCTGTAATTAGATCAACAGTACTAAGTTAACTAATATCGTTTTTTTGATTATTGTCCAAACACATTCAATGCTTTTGCATTTACGTGTTTCAATATTGATGAAGCAAAATTCACGTGATGAATAATAAAAAGACAAAGATCAGTATCTGACAAAAAAGTCATTTCAACCATTCATTCTAATTTCTTATGCTTATTAAATATATGTAAGAAGGATTAGTTAGACGCATTCTTTAGATGAAGAATATACATTAGCTTATGATGATGTATTGAGAAGTTAGTAAATACAGAAGGTTGTGGGAGAGAGTAATACACAAAATTAAATCTAATGATAAAAGTTATCTGGTCCCTACAAAAACTGAAAATTAATCTGGTAACAGGCTTTCATCAACTTCTTCATCGGCAAAGTCATCTTGAATTGTTTTAGTACGTGCTGCTGTTCTCGGTCGTTCTATACTTGGTCCCAATGGATCGTTATATGTAATATATTCATTGTCTGTATTTCTTCGTAAAGTTGTTTCTTTATAGACTTCAGTTTGGCGTGATGGAATATGTGAATGTTTTGATTGAACATTAAAGCGATTGTCATAATTTGCACTACTTTCACGACTTTCACCTGAAAAAGATGTAAGATCCGATCAATCATTGTATTGACAATTGTAGAATATGGACATGAAAATTAACTCTATGATAAATCTTATCTTCCTTATGGAATGGCCTAATCAGCGATATGAATCAGTAGCCTCATTTCTACTTGTAAAATAGTAACCATTTAAGATGCTATATTACATTCAAAATAATCTATCATTATTTATGTAACTATTATTCCATTTGGATCATTACTAATGGTTATTGCTAAAATAAAAATATTGCTGAGATAAAATTTTTGATCTGATTCATCGTATTAGTTGTAACAGTTGAGATAGTTTGGTAATTTAAATTGTACGGTTGTTTCGCAGAAAATCTGACATAATGGATGTAATTTAGCAGACTGCGCAAACGCCGATGTGGAGAATTTCAACAATAGGAATCAGTTATTTATTCTGAGAAATTTTTGGAGTTCTATTGAATAGCTCTGGCTAGTAAAGGAAACTCAAACCAGATGTGAGAAAGCTATCTACCGAGGACAGTGAAAGATTATCGCACAGTATTGTAGATTGATTAGAGTTAGACATGTACATCACTGGATCCCAACTCACTAGTCTAGAGATCAAGCGTCCACATACGAAAACAGATGCATTGGCTTGGGTTTCCGGTTGCAGGTTTGTGGCTATGCACCACCGTAAAGTCATGTATTGGGAGAAAAACGGCTGCTTAATTTTTATAGGTTTTTAATAGTTGTCTAACTTAGATCGGCGACCCATACTCCGTTAGGGGTAACAAACGTAAGTAAGTAAATAACTTCGATCAGTTCGTATTTTCAATGAAATCGTAAGAAACTACTAAACTGATTTACCTCCACTACTAACACTGGTTGAATTTTCATGGCTACTTGTCGTACTAGTTGTATTTGCAAGACCAAAGTTTCGGCGGTTAGTTGCTGACACTTGACGTTGTTCTCTAGCTTGTTTTAATTTTTCAGCACGTTTCAATTTGGCGATATAATCTTGAGCTTCTGGTAAGTCCATATCAGAACTTAATCGTACCAGAAACTGAAGACCTATAGAAAAACAATAAAAAATATAAATTAAATCAAAATAGAAATTTTCATCAAATTGAATTGATTATAGCGAGTTTCTGAAAATCAGTTTCATTGGATATAGAAATTGCACTATTTTTATATTTTATGGTAGCTAATACAACTTTGAGTATAAACTTTGGTTGTTTGGAAATAGCTTTTGATCAACTTCATTACTTTTGGAGTCATTGTTAAGTTACGTAAATGTCATTCTAGATCAGATGATCAAAAATATGATAATCTCCATAACTCCAATTGAAAAAAAATCGCAAAATGTGCTCACTAGTGACTAGCTTTGTGAGAAAAATCTCGGAGTTCTAGTGAGAAGACATAACCAGTGTAGTTCAACCCTGTCGAGTGCAGGCAGTAACTACCAAAGACAAACGGGTGAGGTCGTGCAAAATCTCTAGATCGATTGGAGTTACATATTAACACCGTTGGATGCCGGCCCAGTGGTCCAGAGGTTAGGCATTCGCGCGCAAGGTAGTAGGTCACGGGTTCGAGTCCTACGAGGTGCAGAAGTCGTGGGTTCGAACTGCTAATGAGTCCCATACCACAAATAATATAAAATATCTTAAACACGATTTAAATAATGTTTAAATTTCATGATTAGTGTAATTTAACAACCATGGTTGTTTTCATTCATCCATATACTGAAAAGTAATTTGAAACGTGGATTAAATGTCTCCTACTTTTCAGTTTGTAAATTTTACTTCGTATAATAAACTATTTGGCAAGATGTACAAATTTTTTTCTTAACAAAGTTTATTTTACACCCATAACAAGTCAAATCTTTCAGAAGTAGATAAAGTTTTATAATTTGGTAGAAGAGAAACTTTTCTAAATAACTCTTAATTAGAAATTAACCAATGCGTTAACTGATCAATGTGCCTCTTGTTTTCGGTAAACAACAGACGGCTGAATACAAAACTCAGTTTTACGTTGTACTTGAACTGACGCTTCCAAACTACCTAATAAAGACAATAAAGCTTAAAGGCTTACTGTTATTTTTGGAAGTAATTACTAGTAGAAGTACTGGTGCTAGTTATATTAGCAGATAAATAAATGTGTATATATCAACTTCAATCAGGTCAATTCTGTTACATTTAACGTAAAGTATTACAGCTAATAATAATTATAACGAAAAACTAACTGTTGTTTTCAAGGACATGTGCCTAAACAAATTGATAGAATGTTTTCTGTTACACATTATCATTCTTACATTCAATATTATCTGGAAATTGTCGATGAATAGTACGATATGTTTCTAAAGCTTGTTGATAATTTCCACTTCGACGATGACATGAAGCAATCATCAACTGCCATTTGATTTGATTCGGTCTATAAGATAAGAGCAATATTAAACAATTTGATTAGCCAAAAAATAAATATGTAAACTCAGTTGAGAAATCTATTTCATAAAGGAGAAAAAAAGAACAGAGTATACAGACTATTCAAACAATTAATTGTAAGTGTATTAGACATATCTACAGTAATCAATTTAATTTGATACAACTTTTGTTGTTGATTCCAGGAGACAGCTTGGAAAACACGTCAGCCATGTAACATTTCATTATTCTAATGGTATGAGAGCTGTAAGCTCTATGTAAGAGAACCTCTTTACTTCAGTTTTAAAAAATAATCAGAAAACTATCTCTTATGATTGTTTCTGGTTTAGTATTTCAACGTTGTCCTCTCATTTATTCGAATAATTATTTCATTCGTATAAAAATGAAGATAATTGAACGAAGAAAATGTTCTTTCCGACGATTTCATTTACTTAAGCTGTACAATTATATATACATATATATATAGTTTCGCTGAATTTCCTTTCTTTTTATTCAATGAATCAATTGGTCTCTCGTTATTTTAACTGCTTTTTATTATTGGAGTTGAGTAGTTCGTTGTCATTCTATGGATTGTAAGTGTTTACTTTACTATGTGCATTTAAATTTCTCTTAGACTTACCGAGTTTTCAAATGATTCTCATGAAATCTTATTTGACTCACTAGTAATCTATACTGGAACCTCGTAACAGAACTTAAACATGGTCAGTAATTGATTCATCATTCATTAAGGTAATAATGAGATCTTTACTTATACAATGAAGTTGGAAAACTGTATTCTTCAATTATGCATAACACTTTTATATGTATACAAATAAGTTTTCAACCGTCTCACTATAATACAGTAAGTATCTCATGATAAAATTTATTTGATATTTATTAAATGAATTTATTGAAATTTCACTATCATCTCTGCGTTTATACAAATAAATCACTTGTGCCGTTTTTATTGTGTTAAGTGCCTTCAACAACTTTGAGAGTTGAAAACAATTAAAAATTACAGTTCTTGTTATTCAAGCGTACATGTTTTTTTTGGTGTGAATTGTTGAACTTCTTTTTATTACTCATACGCTTGCTTATTATTATAATACTCTATCAATGAAATATAAGAGAATTTCAATCAGTACAGTATTCAGATAAAACTTCAATCAAGAAATATATCGGCTGAGATTTAGTTTTTTTTTTTTAAATTCATCTGATAATCATCACATAGTCAGAAGAGGTCAACTAAACATAATAGTCATCGGAAATTTGAAGACAAAATGGGAAAATAACTAGACAAGTGGTGATAATCAATCACAGTTAGGCTTATCAAAACTGTATAGTTTAGTGATCAGTTCCGCTGGAAGAAGTGGTTACTGATGATTTTTTTTTTACAATAACAAAGAAATCTTAGAATCTAATCAGCCTACATCAAAGGATGAAACATTATGAAGATAGTTTGTTTTTTACAACCCTTGATACCTATTATTTCTCTGTTTGTTTATTACCATTTACTTACTATGTAGACATTACAACTAACGAAGGTCAACTCCTTGTATGTTATGTCTCAAATAAGATACTCAACGACACAACATGGCAATATGTTAAAAAGTTCATAGAGTCGCTTTCAAGTTTGTTTATTAACTTAGATAGCGCGGTATTTCATTTTAACACTATTATGATAATATTTATTGTTTGGTTAGTAAACTAAGTATAAACTTTATTTCTCAGAGTGAAACAACAATAGTTTAAACATTCAGGGTATATATAGTATTATTGGAAATATAAGTGTGCAAATGTTTGCATAGGCTGTCAATTGATATTATTAGTTCTCTTAGTAAATCATTTCAGTTTACTACTACTTTAATCACTTGTAACAATTCAGTTAAAATAATTTTTCATGATATGAAATATTTTTCTATCTTATTCAGTTAGAGTCATGTTGTACATTTAAAACTGATGAACAGTATTTATAGTGTATGTGTAAATGAATCTTGTTCTTGAATAGCATTCACTAGTTACTGTAATATAATATAAGATTTATTCACTGAATATGTTTAGAAATTTTTCTCAATGACTTCCTGGTAAAATAAACTGTCTTTATTTTTTAAAAACTTTACAGATTTGAATTTTTATTGCTGTTCACTAAACGAAAAGATATAAACAATAGTAGTCAACTTACTGCATTAAACTAGCACGTTCAAAATAAGATACAGCTTTTTCACAGAACTGAGATTCAATATAATAGGCTCCTAACCATTCAATTACGTCAAAATTACACGGATAATATTTAAATGACTAAAATTCAATTAAAATAGATTTTCATTGTTTAGATAATTGAAATTAAAGCAAAAATGTAGCATTTACAAATCTGAAATTATTAACTCGGTAGCAAATAATGCAACACTGAGATTCCAATAAACCTACTGGAAATGTTTTGCTGTCTGTGGAATACGAGAATTCACATACTACACTGGTCAGTAGTCGTTGAAGTTTATTCATTTCAACCTCTGTTACTTGGACATTTCTGAGCAATCGTAACTACAAGATCGATGTTAATCATATTATTATCATGAACCACTAGAAACTGCCTATCGCCAACACTGATCACAGCATGGATTTACTTAGGTGTTGAAGTTTTTCTCTGAGTTTATGATCTCATAGTGCAAAAAAGTTATATTAATCAATAAATGACCTTTGTCCTTTAAGTTATCAGTTTACTCTGTTTGCGTGTACATATGTAACACGGAGTCCATAGTTCATAAGCTTTTAGAAACACGTTTTTGAATCGAAAAGAAATTCTTTCTTCTTATCAAAGACTCAATAATATTTTTATTATTGTTATGTTTGAGAAAGAATATAAAACGAAATTCAATAAAGGGTATTATATACATTGTATGAAATAAGATTTAAAATCATTTGGTATGAGTATATACCATGAAATGATATAATTGTTTGACCAGTTAACCAGCATAAACTGAACTATGTACGAAATATTGAAAAAAAACAGTTATGCTTTCAAAATCCAAAATGGAATTATTAATTACAATTAAATAGATATCGATCAGTGGTTTTTTAAAGTTATTACTGCCTGTGTGAACGGTTGCATGAAACTCATACACTAAAATCCGTGTTCGGCTTCTAAATTACCGCCGTCGCACAAACGGGGTCCACATAAGTATGATACACGTAAATGAAAGGTTTTTTTCATAGCATTTTCAAATGATCGTCCAAAATTGGAGTCAGATCACGGACAACTAAGGTGATGAGCTCTACCTTCAATTCAATACAGCCACAAGGCTAATTGTTGTCACCTAGTACTGTATGAAATGATTCCTTTCAAAATACTAATTACCGTTTCCACAAAATTCTAATCAAGTTAAAAAAGCAGGAAAATAGAAAATTACTCCATGTTCTGAGAGGTTTTGGCGGTCGGTTTTCGATATAGTTGCTAAACTTTGTATACTGCTCGTTCTGATAACCGGTGTATAAATCGGAAGATGACTATGAAGCGTCGATTACGTTTATTATCGTACCTTACAGGCGCTTCCACGGTATGTGCAGCTGCAAAGTGACCACTGCCCTTCATACCCGTAAAAGCAAACGAGATGAAATCGGTCACAATCATATCATTTCTACACAGGCATAGGAAGCGAAAACAAAATGATATGTGACTGCAAGCGAGCGAGCAAGTGAATAGGATTAAAATGTTCATATATATATGTACACAGGAAATTGAATGAGTTATCGAATTATTTAAGCAGCTAACATTGAAGCGAGTATAATGAATATGTATGTAAGAGGTAAGTTATGCTCAAGCATATATGCGCATACAAGTGCAGCAATAAAATAAATGCACAGATAAGTTATTGCTAAACGAAAGAAACTCTTTCGAATAAGTTAATAAAAGGGCCAAACCAGGTTAGATGTGAACAAGCTCGAATGTAGTTGAGTTGCTATGATGCCGTGTAGGTCTCTCTGTATTTGCAGAAAAAACATGGCTACACATAAAACCGTTTTATCAGATCTTACCAACGACTTACATCGTAATAATGAGAAAATGCCTGCGATTTATCACCATCTTGTTCATAATTATCACCTAATCTTTGTAGTAGAAATGGATCAGTTGGAACCATGCCATGTAACTGCATTGCCCTAAAATCATTATGAATAAATACATTAGAATTAATTTACGGTCAAAAAAGTATTAAAACTTATGTATCTTACTTTCTATTTTCCTTATCAAAGCTAATATTTTCCTGAGATCTTCAAGGGGTTAATGGAACCCTATACTAATTACAATAGAAGAAGATACAAGTATTTATTAACAGTTATCTACGCAAGATACTTTGGATTCGTTGGTCAGACACCATCAGCGACAACCTACTATGGAAAAGAACAAACAAGATTTCAGCGGAGAAGGAAATCAGGAAGAAGCGGTGGAAGTGGATAGGACACAGTGTGGAAAGCAGCTAACTGCGTCACAAAACAAGCTCTCACTTGGACCTCTCATGGTCAACGGAAAAGAGGAAGCCCAAATAATACAATACTCCTAGATATGGAGACAGATATAAGAAGAATGAACAAAAATTGTACAGAACTGGAAAAGGAAACCCAGGACAGAGTAGGTTGGAGAATACTGGTCAGCGGCCTATGCACCATTGGAGGCAACAAGCGTAAGTAAGTAATTAAGTATGTATGTATGCTTCATGGACATCCCAAATAAACAAGATAAAATTCATTAAAAAGTATATGAAAATTAAAAGTCCACTTGTATCATTAAGTTTATAACCAACATTTTTTTCTAGTAATTTATGATAAAAAGTACTCTTTTATTAACTAGCTAAATCTAATTCAATCCGATTTCTACTGGTAAATCTAAAATTATGCTATTTTTCAGATATCTGATGTTTTTAATTCACTGGTACTATATACCTTACATTTCAGATAGATTGTTCTTTCTATTGATAGAAAAATCTTCATCAAGTGTTAACTTGTCTTAGAGAAATTTTAATTTTTAAAATCTCTATGAAAAACATTAACGTCTCAAAGTTCATTGAATTACTTAATCAATATGACCGGTCAGTTACATCATGAAGAAAATTTTTCACCTATCAAATATTACTATTTATAAAATTGATATAATAAATTTGTTTGCATTGATTAAGTGAGATCATAGACATTTTTTGTAATATTAAATTTTAGTTTGTTAAGAAATTTCGTTGACTAAAAAGAAATGACCGATTGGTGAATTAACAATTGATCTGACCTTAGTATAATTACATAAATTTGTGACTATTCACCAAAATCAATATTTTTTTCAACTGGTTGAATTGATTTCTTAATAAAATCTGTATTATGCTTTAAGGACAATCTATTTTAGTGTTGTTAGGGACCGCTCAATAACGATTACAAACTGTTTGAATTATTATTGCCTTGTTGATATTCATGACTACATATCAATCAAGTCATTGAAAAATATCGTTTGTTCACTGACTTATCTTAAACTATAGTTGTCTGTTATAAATATTTATGGATATAGCCCCTCTAGGGCTTATACCAGTCCTAAGCCGGGGTAAAGGAGGAGGGTTTTGGCATGAGGTTGTCGACCCGCTAAAGAAACGCTGACCAGTAAAAATAATCCAAACTGTTTCAACTCTGCCCTGGGAGTCAGAAGGTCTTCACTCAGAACACTTATGACGTCTCATGATGAAAGCCAATTTCCTTCGGAAGTCACGAATCATTATTTATTTAACTCGTGCTAGTATTGATATTCCGTCCGTTGCTCTGCCTTGTAATCTAAGGGATTCTATATGAAGGGTAAACTATCTTTATTGTAAGTTAATCATCAGGAATGTCTATCAGCTATCTTTAACCAACTTGTATTTACGTATAATTGATTGATAGATGTTATCATTTCTACTCCTTGTGCTTTCATTCATTCAGTCAGATGCAACGTAGAACTTCGTACGTAAGTACTTCAGTTCATGTTGCCATACCAAAGCAGCAGGGAGATATGATTGTCAATTCAAATCCAGTAGTAGTAGAGGTAGTAAAGGTAGTAGAAGTAATCGGAGAGGTTAGGATTAGAAGATATTATTCAAGAAGTATGATTTAGTGAGATAAGTTAAGAAAGTCAAACCTAGGGGTGTTGAAGAATCCAGAAGATTAGGATTTGAGAGATCACAGAGAATAAATGGACCGGCGCAATTGCAAACGGTTTTGAGCCATGTCATTCACGGTATCTAACCATCGATTATAATCATCTCGCGGACCCCAACCAGGTAGTCGACACCTACCGACATGATTCAGTCCACTTGTCAGTGATTTCATGGATTTCTGCCATGTTTTGGTCTGGCCGCCGCTAACTTTCTTCCAACCAATTCCTACACTACAAAACAAAGCTCGTCGAGGCAGTGCAATATTATCATACAAAACGCTGGGAGACTTTGAGTGTGAATATACCTCAAGATACAATTATGACTGCAATATAGACGACTGACAATCAAATTACTTCATGATACTTAATAGATGAAAGCTAGTTGTTTATTATTTCTTCAAGGTAATGAACTATTTATTGTATCATGATTTTGAGTCATCTCTCATTTTATTTAACTGCAGTGAATTTTTTTCAGGGAACCTGTTAAAAACTAGTATCTAGGTTGTGCTGACTTAAAACAATCATTAACTAACAATTTAGTCATTTCATTGGGATCATAACAAATACAGTCCGCTGAATATAAAGTATCCGGTAACTGATTTGAAAATGAGCACTAACATACAAGATAAAAATGTTTATATATATCTACCATTCCTGGGCTTGATTAGGATCTCCCGATTTCTCATAGATATCCATTATTTGATAAACCACTGGTGCACTATTTCTCAGAACAGCATGTAATTTGTAAAAAGCTTCCAGAGCTTCTTCATATCTTTCTAATTGTTTACATACTAAACCGAGATTATATAAGGCTTCTACACAACGTGTATCATCTTGCAATGCTTCCAAGTAACAATCTCGAGCTTTTTCATATTGTTGTTGTTGATATAAAACGTTGCCTTTGTTAACAAGTGCTGAAGTAATAAGAAAAAAGCGTTAGCTAACAGAAAATGAATAGCTTGATAAATCATGCATACAAACATGGTAGTGTTTCATTTGAAATCATGAATCGATCATTGTTAGACCACCATTAGAAACCTGAAAGCACTAGTCTAACATTGATCGATTCATGAATTCAATGAAACTAAACAATTACCACAGCCTTACAATGAAGATGTTCTATTTATTAACTGAGATGCATTATGCAGGAACATAGATGTTTAGATGTTAGTTTATTGGATATACCTGGCATGCAACTGCTAACTAAATTTTCACCCTAGTTAACACTCGTCAGATAATCATACCTTCAGCCTTGGGGAAATCGACATTCCCTGTGGTATAAGAACAAGCGTTATCGTTTAACATTCCTAGATGTTGCTCACAGAGCGACTTACGCTATGTGCTACCAAATTATTCAGTTATCAGTTTCAACCAACATGAAATGTAGGTTCAGGGTTCTCTACTAACTACCTCGAACACAGTGTATGCGACGTCGAACTACTGAGACTTAATTGACAAACGAATAGACAAACATGATACCAGCAAATAGTCAGTAATAATTCAATTGTATATATATATTATTTTATTGAAACACCTGTTAATAACTGTAATATATAGACGTGATATTTTGACGATTTTATGTTGTAATCTGATTGTTCAATACTCTAAAATAGTCATGAAGAATTTAATCTATCAGAGAAGTTAATATTATTAATCAAAACTCATTGTTTGACGTGTAAATCTTCAACAGATAATCTAAAACGTAAAATCACAATGACCAAACAAGATACCTTGATAGATGATAGTAATGTGCTTTTTATGCTAAACACAGGATGGGAATTTATTCAAAACCTTAAAATTAGAATGTCAGTATCTATAGTTATGATAGATCGATAAATGAATAAAGATGGTGATAGATTGTATTCAGTATATAAGTAAATAACCCTTCCGTAAATAATTTTTATTTTGCTTAATCGTCTAAAATTTTTTATCTAAATACATAAACATAGGTGAAAAACGACACTAGTGTATATATGTGAGTTACACAAATCAATGAATTTTTGATTGGGATGGAGTACTGGAGTACTACCCAGATGCTCAAACTGAAGCAGTTGGGTTCTTTCGAGGGCAACGTCCCGATCTTCTGTTGGCCTCCAGTGGGAAAGTATCTGAGATGCATTCCGCTGGTCGACAGAGACCAACAATAGGTTCATACACTATCTGTTTCCCCAGGATCCTGGAGATTGTGCGCATCATCGACTTAGAATAAGGGTTTTCTGACTCTTATAGGTGGATCCTCCATGCGCACTAACCCCGTTTAAGAGCTAGGCAGCAGCCGTTCGTCTTCTCAACTTCGTGGACAACACCCTACTATGAGAAGGTAGTCAGTAGGACTCCCCTGGTTGTAGGTGCACACGTATGACCGTATAAATAAAGTTGGATATTGAGAGTGGACCATCCAAACTCTCGGCCATACCAGAGCATCTACTGGCCTACTGCTTATAAATAAATTAAAGTGATTAAGATCCAATAAAAAACACCGTCTACCAATATTCATGATTCCTTCTGTCAGAAACAGGTATCCAGGGTTATGACAGAATCGTTAATTTGATGAGTGCTAGTTAATGATTATAATCTGATAAGTGTAATTTATTAATTTATCTTGAAGTTGAATGCCTAGACAATCAATCCGTAACTGTTTCCCAGTCTCTAGAAATTTTCTAATCTTAGATCGCAAGCATGAAGTAGAAGAGATGAAGAAAGAAATGAAATTTATTGATTAATTTCATGAAGAAAACAAGATATTTGGGGAGTTGTTTGTAATGCTGAAACATTAGTAAAAAATTTAGTAGTACTGTGACAAGGATAATAAAAAAGTTATTTGTTTTTTAGAGCTCGCATGATGGTTTCTGAAGAACACAAATAGGCTTAAGTATTTTCGACATTTCCTGGCTTCTGAAATCCTTTGGAGGTCTCATAACACCTTGTCTTGTTCATAGATCTATTTGGGTCCTAATAATTAAACTTATGACTATTTTATCTCAGTATATAACTTCCACAATGTTTAATAACATCTTATGTAATTACATAATGATGACTGACTGATTGGAATCAGGCGTGAAGTAATGCTTAGCTAGTTTCGATTTCCCGAGCAGATCCTTGATTACTTTTTTATGAAATTAAACAAGAACGTTATAGTGAGGTCTTTTGCAGTTTGTGGGTAACTGACTTCTTAAGTGACCTTAAATATTCTAACTCATCGAGCATTATTTTCTAATTTGTGAAATAGTATCTTAAAACTGGTTTTTTTTACGAAAATTAAATGACTACTTGAAATGTGTTAGTAGTTTATAAGGAATCGTGAAACTGAATTTTCACTGCTTGCCTGTTCCTGTTATTACTGTAACGAAGCCTCACTGAACTATGATGATGTGTAAATTAACAGGATTAGGTTACCTAATACAGTCGACCATACTTTGTTTTCACAGGTAATAAATTTGTCATTGGTTTCAGCTCTATTTGGAAAATACTTGTTACATAAAATTCCGATGAAATATTTCTGGGCCACTGACAGAGTAGAGTATTTAATGCTCAATGCACACAGAATCCCCCAGTTAATTGATTTATAACAACAGTAGTGCTAAGCGCTTAGTGTATTATTTTTAGAATTACAACTGTATTCATCGGATTACAGCTTCATTGATCATGTTTTTATCCTAAATCTTTATGATATGAAATCATGAATTAGACTAGTGATAAATTTCTGAAATTTTTGAATGCTCTCCGTTTTGTTTTTAACATGTTTGATTTTCACGTAAATCCTGGGTTGAATGGCTTTATAAGAACATTGGAGGGTTTGAGTTGATCAAAGCTTCTTATTTTCAAAATCAAAAGATCGTTTTGTGCATTGAACTTTAACTATTCTTCAGTATTGTCAAAGCCCAGGCAGAAGTTAGTTTAACAAGTCTACAATCTAATTTTAGACTTGTAACCCACAAAATTTAGAGAAAAATCTGACCCACTTATGATACCAGACCATTTCTGCTTACCTAATAACCGTTCAATAGAACTATTTATTCCATGCAATCGATAGTTTAAATAACAATTACACAGATCACAACTCTAATCAAAAGATATGATATCTGTTTTATAGAATGGATATAATGAATGGTATGACATTTTGAGCGAAAACGATACGAGATAATTTTATATAATCAAGATGGTTTACAGCTAGATGCACTATCAAAGTTCAAAAGAGTATGGAATATACGCGTTACAGTTAAGTGTACTGTTTTTGATACGATGAGTGGTGGTAAATTCTTTAAAAAAATGTAACATTGTTGTCAGTCACTCACCTGCAGGATTATATCGATCAACAGATAAAGCTTGATCTGCATATTTTTCAGCTTGCAATAAATCTCCTTCAAGAAAGTAGAGAAATGACAAATTCGTAGCAGCAGTACATGCAACACGTGAATCTTTTCGTTCAAATGACTTCAAAGTGTCAATTGCCTTAGAAAAAAACATCGAAAATCGGATTGAAGTTTTACTGAAACGATTTCAAATTCAAAAAATTTAACTTTGAAAATGAAATTTGACGGTAATAAGCAAAAACAAGTGCTTATTATTTTGAAGTGAATGATTTGTTTTGATGGATACTTTAATATCGTGATAAATTGCTAGACGCCAATATTTACTTTTCTGTACCAAGTGGGTGATCCGTGTTATTCCATGAAGAATTGGAAGTGGAATGATGTAAAAGGTATATTTGTGTCAAACGTAGTAGACATTGTCTAGTTAAGAAAATACTCTAAGCTTTTAATTCATATTACGCATACATGGATAATTATGAATGTGGTTTCAGTAAATATTAAATAATCATTCTGTGAACTTAATTCTACGTTGTCTGAACCAAATTTAATGCATTAATTCTTAAATGATGCAAAAAAAGCTTCAACTATGCACTGATTTTAATAATATTGTAATCATGGAGATCAGATGGTGTTAAATTATACTTGATGTACTGTTCATACAAAATCAAAAAAATGCAGTTATCTTCACTTATTTTCAAAAATGTTCATCAATCATCTCTATACACAGCAAGATTTGTTATCTATCATTATAGCCATACAAGTAGTAACAATTTCCTAGGGAAATCTTGAATGACGACTTCATCAGTCAGTAATTAGATATAATTTGCGACATAGCTTCAAATCAATTACAATGAAAGTTTCTTGTCAAGACCTAGGATGTTGTTACAATTGTTTGTTTTTCATTTCCATTTCTGGTTCATGTTGAAAAGACTTTTATTTTCTTTAACTATTTTATTTATATAATAATGATAATAATGGTTTTGTTTGATATTTATATGTTTAGGACAATATGGAATTCTAAGCATGGAATACTTCAACAAGTTTCCTTTATAAAACAATTGGTGATTGGCAGTTGGAAGTTAGCAGTTCAGGAATCGATAATTTATTTAGGCTCATTCTTTCCTCAGCAGATTGTCAGTCACCAAAGTCACGTATTGTATTTTTTTGGACCTTGTAAAGTGACAGCTCGTAAACCTTTTATATATCCGCCTAAATAGATTATAGGATTAATAGATGAGTGGAAATTACCATAATTCATTAGTAATTGTTCCTAATTTAGTAAGGCTTTGTATTACCTACATCGTAAATTAAGTATCAAGAACAGTTATCAATCAGAATGAAAGTAGTAGCAAGCAAACATTTACTGAACGACAAAGAAACAACTGGTCATGATAACAAGAGGCTTGCATGAAAATGTCATTAACTGTACATATTTGTGAATAAAAATCTCACCTGGTGAAAATCTCTTTGTTTTAAAAACATCACCGCTTTATCAATTTCTAAATCATGTGCAATTTCATCATAGGAGGACATTTTCACCTGATCAATACACCAGTCATAACCAGCAGAAAAATTTGTTTCAATTACTGGAGCAATTATTTTGGCAGCCATTTTAATGAAATTTTCTGCTTGAATTTTCCTTTTATTTAAAATAAGTAGGAATGAATTAAGAAACAATTTGTAGTAGGGATCTTAATCAAATTTAACAAGTGCTCATTATACATTGAATAATTTAGATTTAAGAGAGAAAAAATATCTGTCTTATAACAAATCCACAATATAGCCCCCCAATAACAATCCATAATTTATTGGAATTCACGAAACTTAAGTTTCATTAATCAGTTTAAGAGGGATTCATATAAACATCATGAAGCAAAATGCATTTATCATAACAACTGACATATATTTTAATCAAAATTCACATTAGTATTTGTAAATTTATTTTATAACAGCTGTTTAATTAAAGTAAATTTAACTGGTCCAATATTGTTTGACTAAATAATGAACTGATACTATAAATTTAGTCATATATATACGCAAATTACAGTTCATTGCTGGTTAATAATCGCAGGGAAACATAAAACTCCTGTTTGAATGTGGATTATCAACATACTAACTGGACATTCGCATAAGCGTCTAGTATGTAAAGTAAAGAAAAGTGCAGGAATTATTATTGGGGGTCTTGATTACTTTTTTTCTGCATTAAGTACTACAGAATTTTGTTATAGATTTTGAATTTTTAACTTCTTAATATCGTTCAATCAAATTCAACATGGAAATCAATGGTATCATATTAAAGAATAAATGAAAACACTTCATGCAATCAGAAACGAGAAAAGATGGAGAAAATCCATTGGTAAAAAATAGCCTAAACATAGTGTTTATCCTTTTTAGGACGTCAATTAAGCAAATAAGTTACAGATGTTGAGTGTACCTGTGGTATCAAACAACTGATAAAATTAGAAGAATTTCACATTATGATGAGTGCAACACCGGTAAAATTACAATTCTTTTGGAAGTGTCTATAGGTTTATATAAATGTACTTCTGATTGTTCAATCAACTGGATATGATATTAACTTACTGTTTTTTCTCAAATTGGCGCAGTTCATCATTTTGGATTACTTCTAAGATCAAATCGTATTGCTTATCATCCTAAAATAGTCACGAGAAAAGATGGAAAATAAATGGGAGATTCTTACATTATGTTGTAAATAGCGATCTTCATCATCCAAATGCAGATCCACTCGTAGTAGTTGTTGAAATGCACATTTCATTTTATTTCGATCTCCTTTGATAAAATAACATACAATTAAATTGAAACCAGTCTTTGTATCTGGTTCCTCTTGCATAATATGTTCAAATGCCGTGATAGCCTCATTGAATTGACCAAGTTTAACAAAGCTTATACCAATATTCTGCATAATTTTAATTCTATAATAAACAGTTACCCGTATAATAATTAAAAATTACCTGAATAATTTATGTGTATTGGGCACTTGATCTAGGCCCATATGAAAGAATTTAATAGCTTTTGAGTAATTCTTTTGCAGGTAGTAAATATTTCCCATATTTACCTTGAGTCTACCTGAAAAAATAATTGACAAATGAAGTTGATCGTAGGTTAAGACAGCTTTTATTCAGAACTGATACAGAATAACCCATCTTCGGGTCCTATTAAGTACAAGAAAAATGTCCCTACATGTTATCAGATTCCTAATTTTTCAGTAAAAGGGCCCGTACGATACAAGAGGACTTCATCTGAAGATGTTGGCTTAGTTAGCTGAATATTTGACAAAGAACTGATGTGTTCTTTACTCATCAAACTACAAATAAATCCAACATAAAATTTCAAAGCGTTGTCATCTGAGTTTAACTAAACAAGTCAGTTTTGTTTTAATCGGTAGCCAACATGCTGGACTACAAAACTGATATTCATATATTTATAGTCTATTCAAACAGAAAAGAATATTTTACACAAAACTATCATGAAGAGACATTGATCTGTTTCTGAAACCGAGGTGAAATGTCGTGATTCAAAGTTCCGTAGATAACTCAATTATGTAAAGATGGTAGATGCTACTTTCTTTATAATATCGGAAACCACTAGTTCTGCCATGACATTTAAATATTGGTCATAGATCTTAGTTATTATTAAAAATAGTTCAGTGTTTTAGTAACCTCTCTATAGTGTATTAGGTCACACCCAAATGCCGAAATTCGGTTTTATGAAGAAATAACTAGTGGTGAACTAATTTCTGAAATGCTCATTAATCAATGACGTATTTAAGAATTAAAACGCAATACTCAAAAGAATTCAAACCTGCATGTGCAAACATCTTATTTCGAACAATAGTTTGATAAGTGTTCAGTGCTTCTTGATACATCCCACTTGCTGTATAACGATTAGCCAAATTGAATAGCACTGAATACGTCAAGTCCAAATTAATTTGATCTGCTACTCCAAGTTGCTCTCGTTGTCTAACAAGTACACGTTCTTTTCGGCTAGCTTCCTTAGCCTTTTCCAATGCTGCAGTAATTTCTCCTTGGCAAGCATCAACGCAACTTTCCTCAATTAAATTATTAACCTGCCAATGACGAAAAAATATCTCATTTAGATTGTCAAAAACTGTCTAAAGTTAAACGGTTGTACAAAAGAATTTCCATCCCCTATCATACACTTTCATCTATAGGATAATCGATATTACTTGATGGCACTTTTCAAATAATTTCTCTCTAATTTGCCTAAATATTTACGAAAAAATAGTTTAATTTTATATTTCGCTTTTTGGCCTATGTGTTTATGTTAAGAAATTTGCTGTCTAGACGTGATACCCTGTTAACATATTCTACTGATACCGAAAGATGCTGACTAATGGTCACAGTGAATTGCTGATTTTTTGAGTAGGCATAAAATAGTTATTTTTAGTATTTAGATTGCGAGATAATTTTTGTCTTAGTTTGTAACAACAATGAGTGTTTCTTAAATAACCTTATCTTTTCCATAAAATTCATAAAAGTATATGTAGTATTTTCAGTCAGTCATTCAGCAACAAATTAACAAAGAGACCAAATTTTCAACTCAAATCCCTTAGTGGTGGATGTAGTAGAAGTATTAGTGATAATGCAGAAGATTAGGGTATAAAGATATTATTCATGAAGGATAATCCAGCCAAATAAACTTAAAAAGAGAAAGGTAAAGGTGATGATGAGTCCAGAAGATAAGAATTCGAGAGAAGACAAAGAATCGATACATCTGCGCCATTAAAAACGATTCGAAGCCGTATCATTCAAAGCGTCTAACCATGAGTTACAAGTGTCATGCTGACCCGAACTAGGTAGTCTAACCTTTTAACATGGCGATGTCCACTTGCAAGCGACTTCATGGATTTGTGTCATGTTTTGGTTTGGCTGCCCATAGCTTTCTTTCAACCTATTCCTACACCATATAACAAACTTGCGGGGCGATCGGTGGTTGGGCATAAGCTTTACATGTCTCAGCCATCATGAATGATGAAGGTTAACTATTTTATCAATTGATCTGCCATCCTTACCTTCTACTGTTTTCCTAGCACTCATGTAGTCCGTTTGGCGAATAGGTCGTTTTCCTATGAATATTGACGTTAATGCATAAATTCTGATGAGTTCAAGATTGAAAATTTAAATCACTCTTGGTGTGAACACTATATATTAGAGTTAAAATAAACGCATCAGATTGGGCAAACGTCCGTACTGAGTTCCAGTACTAGCGGCCATCTAAAATTTGTTTAAATACTCTGAAGGGGTTTTGCTTATTTTCAGGTACTTTTTCTAAAGCATAGAAAGGAATTATAAATATGGTGACTTTGAGTTTCTACAAATCATTCAGCGTCGTATAAAGTTCGATACTCCCTTCTAATGAGGTTGATAAAACTCATTTAAAAACATGAATTACAAGTGTATTGCTTTGCAAAGCAGTTTTTAATTATAAATAAACATTGTTAGTCAGTCATTTAGTCACAATAAACATAGAACTTACCGAAGGTATGCGGTAATCTACGATTTCATATGAAATCGATACCACAGAATGAGAATAACAAGATACATAGCAAAAAATCAAAATAATAAAGTATAAATAATAAAGAGTAAGACTAAGAGTTGAGAAAGTGGTTTAGAAGTACAGGATTAAAAAGGCCCACTTGAAAGTGCTAGGAATCCAGGCTGAGAAGATGGTGCATCTATCGACTTTTAAACTTGTAACTTAGTGTTTCCAGCCATTGTTCACAGTTGATTTGCAAATTCTAAGAGAGAAGTATACGTCTGGTATAATGCAATGAGTTAATTGTTCTGAATTTGGGTGGGATTATTTTGATTGATATCAGCACATAGTTTTTGAAAATCTGAAACATCGAACAAGGTTTTCAGTATGAAGTGTGTATGAAACAAAAAAAGGCTCCAGCGATTGCAGTAACTTATTTAGACAAGTACATTAAGTCATCCAATATACTTACTCTTTTCTCCATATTCTTGATACGTTCTTCAGAACTATCCTCTGGTTTACTTTCAAGTGGAGGAACAGAGCCAACATCAGTGGTTGTTTGTACAGTTTGACCACTTAACCAACCTTGATTTCCTGATTGCCCTGTACTTATTCTACGACCCATAGATGAATATCCAGCAGCTCTGACAGATGTCATTGGTCTTCCGAAATTTCCACCAGCAAAACCTGAGGCTGTGACCAACCTAAAGTTTGCCGAAGTTGGTACTCGTCCTGTTGGTCCTCGAACGACTGATGTGTTTGAACTTTGACTAAGCAACTGGTATGAAATAAACATATGTACAATAGAATTATGTGAGTGCTGGCTTAGATTATAGAGAATTATGTTGACTTTTGATTTATTCATTCAATATTATGGGGGATTAATGAGTTAATAGAACCAACGTTTAGCTGTTCCTTGATAAAAACCAATCTTTTTTCATAAGCTGGTATTATGCGGCTTGTTTTAGGACGGTTTCAGGTATTTGTCAGTGTTTAGTAGGTGATATTCTGGTGACTTAACTGCACTAATTCCACTCAGTTAGAAAGTTGTTTTGTGAACTTATATGTTTTAAGATTTAAGTAATGGCGTTTATCTGAGGTCAGTTGGTTTTCAGAATATTATATTACCAGACAGGAAATAATTTTTTAAGGGTTTGACGAATTTTAGAGGGAAAATTCTTATTATCAGAAAAAGACGAATACAGTGCACTGTAATTATACAAACGTGATTGATGGTCTGATGGGGTCTTAAAATAAGTAGTTTATAACCTTCACTGACACTAAATAAATAATCCTTATGTCCATAAAAAATCAATATACCGAAGGTTTTCTTCCATGACTTGTATTTTTAATGGCGTTCTGAAATCCGCTGTCACTCGCAAATTCTTCAATATCCTGCCTGCTACTGAGCTGATCAAATCCTTCATACAAATCGTCATCATCATTGCTGTTAATCATTTTCGTTCAAATGGTAGCCTAGGCATATAAATCAATGTGATTCATACAAACATATGTACATTTTTCAATTGTTGAATTGGTTTCAATATCCAATATCTCCAACGCGAGCTAGTATTTCTTTGCGCTCGATTCTCGTTCTTTCGGTACGATTTCAGGTGTTTGGTAGTATATAATGAATGGGTTTCCAGCCACTCGACTGTTTAATTCCAGTCAGGTGACAGTTGGTTGCGACTTTGAATGTCTTGTGATTTGAATGAATACTTTTGTTCCATTGCAATAGGGTTTCTGGATACTACCAGCTATCACATTACCAGACCTCAGATCAGTCAGTTGCATTGTGGTGAATGACGAGGAGAAAAGTTTCATGCTGATTAGAGTAATATTTTAGGACTAAGTAAATAATGGATAATTTAGTTTATTAATTGGTAGTGAAGAGGACCAAACTGTAAGCCGTTTGAAGGAAACAGGTAATATTCTAGATGAATCAAGCTAGTTATATCGAAAAATGCTGAAAATAATTCTGAGGCGAATGCATCACATAAATTGAAGAGTTGCCTTAACCTTGACTGCATCCTCTATTTTGAGCTGGTGTAGAGGCTTTCAGTGGTTATTAAATCGAGATCGGGCGCCAAAGACATTAAGGAGAGGACTTTTATTGAGAGTGGATGTAGCTTGGGTCATGTGAAGCAGAATGTACATAACGTGACATTTCACTGTCCATTCTCTAATACACGCAAGCTGCTTTTGAAGTTTAGTTTAATTCTCTTCGCTTCTTATGGATCAACGTATCTTTACATCGTCTGCATAGATTATAATTTGTGTATTGATAACTGAAGGCGAAGAGCCTTTATTAATCCCGTCCCAGGAAGCTCTTGCAGATGTCCAGTTTCCTCCCCATGGGAGTCAATTTAAATCAGTGATATCAACTATCGAGGCAACATATTTCAAGAGTTGAGAACTCTATGTGAAAATCACTGAGCCACCTGTATTTCCACTGTCCTTGGTTGTTGTTCCAACATATTCTATCTTCCAGTATGTCTTGAATCGGTAAAGAGAAAGTGCAAGGATATATGAGGCCGAAAATCATAATTTTCTGTAGAGTAAGATAAAATAAATGCTAATTTATGGTTAGATCGAGTAAAGAGCTACAGCTTTTGAAGTCGTTGTGTGAACGATAAAAATTCATATCACTGGAATTGCTCTGCACCTTTTGCAGGATATCCGAGCTGATTTTTAAACGGGAACCTAAAGTCTAAAAGCAGCTTTTATGTTTGTATCTCACGAAGGATATGTATACTGTAAATAAATGTCTTAAAACCTTTCGGCTTCTAAGCCTCCTAGCTGCAAGCGAAGTCAGTGGATCGGGGTCTTAAATTGTTGGCTTACTATAACCCGAGATGATTTTGAGAATGAGCTACGGACAGCGACTCTCCTCCAATACTTTAACCATGTGTCTTTTATCCGCAAAGTGCATGCGACCACACTTAGCCACATTGACAAATATCACCAAAATGTCTGATTCACTTTGAGGTGCACATGTAATAATAATAATAATTTATTCCCAAGGAATAATATGTTACAATTGGTATGGTAATTTACAGGCAGGATCAAAATGCTAAGATTACCAACATACATTTTGCAAAGTGTTCAGATACTGAAATATTTCATAAGATATATTGGCTTCATATAGATAGCTTAAATTTTCCACATAAAATCATAGATAATTTTCCATACTTTGCTATGTACAATTTGAATGATTGGCATGACAAACTATTAATGACTGAGAAACAGTGTAAGGTAGAACCAGGTCTACATATAACAAGAATTGATGAAGTGAATTTCCTAAGATCTTGATGATATTTGTCAGCTAATAAATTTACAGGATCCTGAGTAAAGTAACCAAGTCTTCGGCAAATGTCCAGATCAGTAATTAAGGATTGGAATAAGGTGTTGAAAAAGAGAAATAGAGAGAAACGGGTGAGGAATAGAACAGAAAATATTCTTGCTTAGAGATGAACAATGACTCGGCAGATACCTTTTTAAACTAGAACACTAATTGTACACCTGATCTTATGTAAGTTAATAAAATTAAGTAGTAAGATAACGAATGAGCAATTAACCGTATGAATATAGGAAATTCAGATGTACCCAATTGTTAGCAATAATACTTATTAACAGAATATAATAATAAGCACAGTGATCTGTTGTTGTTGTGATACTGTATTTATTCTTTTTCTTTTTAACTCTGTAGCTCAAGAAGTCAAAAGTGAACTCTTTTTCAGTACAATTTTCCAGATCTACTTGTAATAGCAGTGCAAGGTTATGAACATGTACCTGCGTACTCAGTAATTTCTTGAAGACATTTCTTAAGAGGCAGAGGACCTAAAACAGAACCTTGCATCACTTGTTTGGTTAATAATAACAATAATAATAATAATTTATTCTCTAATAACAAACATGTTACAAGAGACATGCCGATTTACAGGCAAATCAAAATGTTAAGATTAGCAACATATTTCTTTTAAAACGATATACAGTTACTGAAACATTTCACAAGATTCATTGTATCCGTATAGATGGAATGTACAATGCGAATAATTGGTGCAAGTTACGAAGGTTGCGTTACGACAATCATCTTATGGACTGAGAAACGATTCATGGTAGAGATAGGTTTTCAGGTAACAAGAATTGATGCGGTAAATGTACAAAGGTCTGGTTGATATTCATCAGCTAATTATTCCACATGTTCTCGGGTAAGGCAACCAAGTCTTCTGCAAATATCCAGACTAATATATGAGGATTGGAATAAGGTTCTGAAAAAAGAGGAATAAAGAAATCGGAACGAGGAGCGGAACAGAAAATATTCTTGTTCAAAGCCGAACAACGGCTTTGCACATACGTTTATGGATAAAACAAAGGTATGTTTAATCAGACTTTTTTAATATCAGAACACTAACTGATCACCTACACTTATGTAGGTTAATGAAGACAATTCAGTAGTGAAATAACTAATGTAAAGTTAGTCGTATGAATAGAGGAAATTCAGAAGAACCAAGTTGTTAGTAATAATGTTGATTTAAAAAAATATAATAAAGAGGATCAGTGATATAATTTTTTGTTTTATTTATTCTTTTTATTATTAACTCTGCGGCTCAAGAAGTTATAAATGAGCTCTTTTTTAGTATAGTTGTCCGGACCAGCTTGTCATAAGATTTCTTGGTAGGAAGTAAAAACCAGTGCAAGGTTACAGACATGAGTTGTAGACGAGGTTAACAAGGAAAATTAACATCAATATCACTGATTTGTTACATCCTGCTATTTCGTAAGGATTCGTAAGCAAACAAAATGTTCTGCCACACAGACATGGGTAGATTGAGGTTATCGCCCCACCGTCATGAATGCTGGTCAGATACACCACCCTCCCTCCTTTTGTGTTGTTAGGTTCTCTTGCGTTTAATGTTTGATTGTAAATAATGGCCTCTAGTCTACTCTCAAATTTTTTGTGTAAACCTTATGGGAACTGACTTTCTCTGCTAGCTCCATATTACAAGTAATCCAGACAACTTTGCCAAACAAAATATCCTCGTAGCATATCACACTGATTTTAAGTAAACGAATGGTATAATTTGTAAGATGGGTCAGTTAATAGATAGTTTGGAAATAGGAAGGACAGGGAGCTGGAACGAGGAGAAAGAGAGAAAAAAAGAGTTGAAATAATGTTAAAAATTAATGAGTAAAGCGATAAGTTGGTAAGTAGACTGGGGGTTAGGCGATACACGCTTGCTGAGAGTGCAAGGTATTTTAGTAGACGGGTCTTGAAAACAAAGCCAGACTCATTTCTGAGGAGTGAGTACTAAGTCTTGACGCCTACACCAGTTATCTACATTATTGAATTTATACGGGATTGCTTGTGTGGAATATCCTCATTCACATTAGTTAGTCTCATAGATCATTTGAAGGCCAACAGCGCAGCGATGTGTTTTGCCTGAGTTGAAGCGACTGTATAAGGTGGTCAGATACACCATACTCCCTCCTTTTGTGACGTTAGGCTCTCTTACGTTTAATGGTTGATTGTAAATAATGGTCTCTAGTCTACTCTCATTTTTTGTACACCTTATCGGAGTTAATTGTTTAGCAAGTTAGTTATTTTCATGAATGTCATTTTGATCTTTTGCATTACCCTTTCTACGATACCGGCTAGGTTGATGATTCCATAGTTTAATGAAAAGTATGTTGGACGTGATCCATTTGACGTTGACATAGTCAAAGAACTCTGGCTCGAACCTCCACCAGCACACATTCTGCCAACGATCACTGCTCTGCTCGAGGACACACCACTTAACTAGGCTGCCCTTATAGCGGACACAATTATGGCACGAACTAGCTCGCAAGACAACTACATGGTTGCCTCAACGTCACATACAAACGTAGACCACAGGCCTAAGCAGATCGAGGTTGCGGTAATGACAGCCGTCTCAAGTTTTGAGGTCGTTCTTTCGTTCCTGGACCCCACTTCCTTCGATCCCGCTCACGATCACGAAAGATCGCAGCTACTCCCCACCAGTGAGCATCTTCCAAGACACCTCGAAAGGCGGCTTCGAAAGCGAGTACCCGCTGGTGTTGGTTCCACCTGACTTTCAGGTCTGGCGCCTGTCACTGTCGAGCACATTGCGCATACAATGCGGTAAATTTTCAAGCCGAGTACACGTGGCTGTCCTCGTCGGCCCTTCACCTCTATGTTCACGATATCCGCACTAACGCTAGGTAGCTAGTTGACACAGGTGCTTTAGTTTCTGTCGTACCACTTGGTAGCAGCAGGTCTCAAGCTACGATGCTTCCACTACGCGCTGCCAACGGCTCAGTAATTTCTACCTATGGTACACGACAGCTGTCGATCAACCTGAGCAACCGACAACAGTATCTGTGGACGTTCATCATTGATGATGTTCCCACAGCCATAATCGGTATCGATTTCCTACAGCACTATGAACTGCTAGTCGATTCACGTAGGCTGAAGCTAATCG